ATCCAACTTTTTTTTGCAGAATCATCTCCTCTCCCCGCATCACGTCATCATTGCAAGCAGCAATTGCCTCTATTGTTTAATCACTACGGGCGCACGAGGCAAGCGGTTTTATGCATGGCGTGATATGATGCAGAGAAGGCCTGATCTGCCATCGCTGTCAGAAGCAAATGATTCGGGAAAACTTTGTTTATTTCGTCCGGCCGTTTTGTCTCCTAAGAAAATCCCATTCAGGCGAAACTTCGCTGATATTTCCCGATTTCATAACGCCGTCCCGATATTACTGGGCACTGAACTTTAAACTGTCGCTGAATGTCACCTGCAATTTAACCATTATTCATTATATGAGCTAAAACACCGTTGAATATATTCCCTTCTTGTGCAGGTTGCCTTACCGTACTTAACAAACCAAGAAGCCTAAATGAACATAAAAGTCACGAACAGCTTGCGGCAGTCGTTCTTGGGCCCTGACTGAATGATGCGTTGAAACCATCTCCAAAAGTTCAGCAGATCTGAGCCCTTGACTCGGGAGGCCATGCTGACTTAGTCATGCGGTGAAGAACCGAAAAACTCATTTCGTTGCATTTCTTCAGCGTTTGACATCCTAGAATATGCTGGTTGAGTAACTGAAATACTGGAGCAGAAATCCAGACAAATAATTAACTTGTCCGCGGCGTAGACATGGAAGTAAACTCCTTCTACATGAAGTGCAGTCCGAAGCAATCTAGTTCATATGCTTGAAATGCGTTCTGAATCAATAAGGTTAGGGACTGGCGATCAGAAAATGCATTTCTTTGCTTACAAATCCTGCAGACTGTTGCAACGGTCGTGTTCCGAATGATTTATTGAAGACTTGCCGAGTTTGAGAGCAAATAAAATGAACATTTGCGCTGTCTCACTAGCATGACCCGCCGGACTTTCTAGCGCGATTTTGACCTCAATGTGATGCGCTATGTTAAGTCGCTGTTATAGAATGAACTTCAATGCACGTTAGCCGCTCCGACATTGCATTTAGAACTATGTGTATCGCAAACACCAGTTAGGTATTTAACCAGTGTGAGTCCTTTCTTATTCTATCTTTTCGTAAAGACTCATGCCAGTTCCTAAATGAGCTGACAGGTAATATAGAATGCGTAGCAATGTACGTTACTTCCATCAAATATGTGTCAAAATAGTTCGCATCGCATCAAAACCATCTTCATCATCTACGTGTCTCATCAAAATGCACGGCTACAATCATACATAAAGATCTGTGGTAGTACCAAATTACTGACCGATGATATGAGAATAGTATACAATGCGCGTCTTTTTTCTCACCCAGTTACATCAAGAGCTATGCGCATCGCAACTAAACAGCCACGTGGCGAAAAACAGAAGTCCGTCGCTCCTAGCCCCAGTGTACTGTAAGCTTTCGTTAAGTTATACAATTATTGATGAATCCAAATATACGTTTTACGGTAGATTTACATCACTAATTGTGCGCTCCGCAAATAAAGACTTGCGTTGAAACCAGCAAAGTCCGTCCTGTTAAACCTCATTTTATTTGAACATTCGCGCAGGTTATGAATTTAGCTGATATCTGTCATCAGGATCTAGACGCATGACTTGATTCCGGTTCCTTTGCGTCATGTTCATTATTCGCCAGCATTTCTCTTTCACTCCCTTAAAATCACGACATGCTCATGAACCTAAGGTATTAAAATCTAGTCTATATTCACGCATCTAAGCACACGACACTTAGTTACATGCAAGCCACACAGCTCCACTCCGCGATAGTCCAAATAAGGTAATCTCACATAGTCTCACATAAGGTAATCTGACCTGCCCAGTGCGTGACCTCGACCTCCAACCCCCTCGCGCGTAATGATCTCCACCCGACACGTGGCATGCCCATCCTGTCTGGTTAGTACCCATTACACCAACAATTTTCCCGCGGAGTTTTCATAGCTAGCTGACATCTGGCAACTGTAGCAGAGGGGTGGGAAGTGAGGAGACATGCTGAAGAATGATGGAAACGGAGAGCAGACTGCAGCGTCCCAGCACCTCATCGCAACTCCTCCACTCACATATTGGTGGCTGCAGTCACCGGATGCAGAGCGTCTCCGTCCACTGAGAGAACTCCGAGTCCGTTTGCTGACCTTTTCCCTGAATGTGACGCTCCCGTCTGTTTTGATATACATGTCCCGCCTCCCAGGTTCCGGCTACCAACTAAGCTTGCTCCCATTCGTGGTCATATTCAGGTCCGCGTTGCAGGCGCTCTTTCCTGGCCCAGGACGGGCCCAGGGCTTCGGGTGACGAGCGCAGGTGTGCCCCGGAGCATGACTGGCACTGAGGTTTTGCTGTCCTGGCGTCTTGCCGCGCACTGATCGGCTGGGGCTCTGGTTCGAGTTCAGCCTCGGGCTCCAGACCTGCCCGCCGGGCTGGCGGTTGTATTATCTTGCTCGGCTCTGGCCTGCAGCTCGGCTCTGCACGGGTCCTTCTTGGTCATCCGCTGGCGGTTGTATTACCTTGCTCGGCTCTGGCCTGCAGCTCGGCTCTGCACGGCTCTTGCTCGGCTCTGGCCTGCAGCTCGGCTCTGCACGGGTCCTTCTTGGTCATCCGCTGGCGGTTGTATTACCTTGCTCGGCTCTGGCCTGCAGCTCGGCTCTGCACGGGTCCTTCTTGGTCATCCGCTGGCGGTTGTACCTTGCTCGGCTCTGGCCTGCAGCTCGGCTCTTGCTCGGCTCTGGCCTGCAGCTCGGCTCTGCACGGGTCCTTCTTGGTCATCCGCTGGCGGTTGTATTACCTTGCTCGGCTCTGGCCTGCAGCTCGGCTCTGCCGGGTCCTTCTTGGTCATCCGCTGGCGACACGCCGACGCCGGCGCGGTGGCCACGCGGGCGGAGTGGGACGCGGCACCGCCGCATGTCCCGCTCCCCGGTGGCATCTTGCTCCAAACATGCTTCTAACACTTGGGGCGTGGGGCCCAGTTATACCGGGCTACATCCCGCGTTTCGGCCAGGGCTTCTCGCCTGGAGGATTTTTGTTTTTTGTCCAGGCTCGCTGCGGCCCTTCTGGTGCGGCCTGTGCGCTCAGACGCCGTGCCTGGCCGGCTGACAGGTCACTGGTTTTTTGTCTTACATATCGCGGTCTGGCTGCTACGCCAAGTAGGAAGTAGGTGCAAGGCAGGAATAGGCCAAAGGAACGATACCAACAAGACAAAATATTATTTATAGCCGGTATTAGTCAAATGTTAGCTCTGCCTTACAATACATATGCGCATGGGACGTATGTCTGAAGCTTCTTCGTCTCCTTTTCAACGTATTGGTAGCATTTTGAGCTATGACATTAAATGTAAAGTCGATGCAACTAAGCGTAGCAGAACCGTTTTTACTCTCAATTCTGTGTCGGTTTTTGGTACCACAGCGAGTAGCTCCGCCGTAGTCCGCGAAATATATGTTTTGGTCACAAATTGATGCCGATTGGTAGCTATTGCATACGTGCTGCACATGTCATAGAATAACTGGAAGAATGCCATCACTTTCATTTCTTGTAATTCAATCGTTAGCTTTTGACAAGAAGATGTCTCATTTGCCCTGGCTATCAACATCTGAGGAACTATTCAAATGAAGTTAGCGTTGATACTGTGCTGATTATGTTATGCCCTATGCAGTTAAAGGAAGTGTTTTTCTCTGTATGATGTTTTAAATTTAAATAGCCATCTTAGAGATCATTTGGTGCAGTCTACAGCCCTGCCCTTCTTAAGACCTCAACCGCTCTAGTTTCTGAGCTACGCGCCCGCGGCGCCGTGCAGGCTACTTCGGGGAGACTTTTTCAGGTATCCCAGGCATCCGAGACGCCATAACAGTCAATAAAACCCTGCCATTCTATAAGCCATGTGACGATCAAGGCCATGAAAAACACATTTGCCGAGTCGTTCATATCCGGCGTTTGTGAACAAGATTTCCAGATATAATGCCAGCTAATGCCAGCAGTCCGTCCCGGTGGCTCAGTTGGTTAGAGCGCCTGCCTTCCGGTCCACCCACCCGTGGCTGGGTGGGTTCGAGTCGCTTTAGGGCGCTCGCTATTTGCCCTTGACAGGTATGGCCTGCGGCCGGTGGCAGCGGACGCGCTAAAGGTCAGTTGACGTCAGAGGGCAGGACGGACCGTGCCGAGCATTGCGGCACGTTAAGCTTTCGCCACTAAATTCTGCCGTTGCCTAGGACTGCGCAATCGGATGGTGGGGGTCAGAGCTCACACAACAAGCACTGCTTAGCGCGAGAGCTGATCCCAGAGATCCACCCATTCAAAAGGGTTCGGACCAAATGTATTTTTTTAAAAAATGAGTTGTAATATATGTTGTGCCAGCGACAATGACGCAATCAAACAATGGCGTATTGAGCAGTACATTTAACAAAAAGATAATTTGAGGTATCTAGAGCAGTCTTCCTTCTTAAAAGCATATCAATAGTCATAAGCGAGTTTGTTTAGTCACATCTAACGCTTCTCCAATATCTCCAAAAGTGGAACATTTCCTCGAATGGCTATGGGCTGCTGGCCTGCATTCATTTTACTTGATAAGACGTGTCAATTACGTTGCGTTGGTTAAAGTTATTGTTTGATAACGTTGGATGAACAATACACGCAATATTGACTTGAATCAAGTAAAGAAGGTCAAGGTCATTGGTAGTCAAATGTCTGTGAACGCAGTTAGTGGTATAGCATGGGCCAAAACGCATTACTGCGCACTCTTCTGCTGCACAGGAAGCGGTTGGAAATGGCATTGAATGAGTTCTATCTCAGAAGGTCTATTTATGAATCCCTGACTGGCGGAATCAGTTCTGGTCGCCAGCCTGACCTGGCCTGGGGTAAACTCAGCGAGCCCATGCTTTGTAGTCAAGCTAAGTCCTGCTCCGGATGGATCAGCATGTCGACGCGCAATTTGGAAATTCCCATCGGGATTGCGTCACTTGCCGTGACCTGCAGGAGCCTGCCACGACGGCCTTCGTGCCAGTGAAAACCAGATGGTCCTGCCGTCGAGACGTAATCCGCGCGTGGTATAAAGGAAGCGCGCCGCATTCGCATAGGGAATAGTTCAAGAGAAGCACCACCATGAAGTTGGTACGTACCTCTGCGCTGTCCCCATGGATTTCAGTCTGATGTATTCACTGATGATGATATATCTGATGATGTTAGTTACTGGTCTTGCTTCCGGGATAAAAGCGATCGAACCGTCGTGCAAGGTCTGAGCATGGCTACTTGTTTGACTTTGTGGGGTACGTACTTAGTGCCTTCTTATAGCTGCGTGCTATGCATTGTGCGGATATGCTTTGTTATGTTGTGTTATATCGAGACAAAGCACGCGGTTTCCTTGCGTTTAATAATTTTGATTGCTGAGCATTTTTGAGGCGCCATGTTCCAATCGTAGCAGACGTACAACAAAATGGTCTGAACTATTGCCATTTAAGTATCCTTGGTGTAACTGATTCAAAGGTTTGGTCTAAAGGTCTAAAAGGCATGTAATCCTCTAAAGTGTCAATGGTGAAATATCCTGTAGAGCTCAGGTTACCTGCGTTTGTTCACAGACTGTAGCGGTTCTTGCGTTGCTGATGGTGTTGGTTGTCTGCGTTGCTCCTGGGTAAGTTGTTCAAGTGTTGCTCTCTGCTCTTACAGTACAGAAATAAGGCATTGTGACAGTACAGTCGGCCACTATTCATGACAACAACTTTTTTTCAAAATGTTGATACAGGCTATGAAACGATAGTAGCATAACTAAAACTGGCCGCACCAATAACGTTTACTGATTTATATTTCAAATCTCACCTAAACATATTCAAAATGTTACGGAAACAGCGGTAAATGGCTACGGGTTAGCAAAGTATTAAAACAATGAATGGCAGTGGTAATCTAATGCAAAGGTTATCAAAAGCGTGTTTGTAGTGTTCATCAAGACGAAGGGAAGAATAACAAGAGTTGCATCAGTTGTTACTCTGCGCTCCCTACGGCTTCAACTAGTGAACATAACCAGTGAATGGAACTAAGAATATTATACTTGCGGACATGTATGCCCATCAGTTTCATATGTAGCGGTAAAGCTTTGGAGAGCACGTCTTCATTTTTGGTAAATTATTCTGAACGGTCTTCCTCCCACTGAGACAACTTGTCCCACCCTGGGGTAAACTACATCGCATGGTGGGGGACGTCGTGCTTACGTCTTTTTTGTTTTGCTTTTTGTCGCAGAGTAAGCTACGTCGCCAGCAAGCCGAATCGTTACGATGTTTGGGCCAAATATTCTTGTCTGTGCTATTTCGTAGTTCGTCGTGATTGCAACATTGTAATCTTTTGCCCTTTTTATTCATTGCTATTTGTGTCCCGACCCCTGCCACCTTGGTTTCGGTCGCTTCAGAAAGGAATCATAGTTATACAGAGGGAATGTAAATGTTGACTTGTTTTCTGGGTGTCAATAAGTCATGGCAATTGTGCCAATGAATTATTCATCACGTTAAAAACTTCAGGGCACTCAGTTCGTTCTTTGAATATTCTGGCCAACTTGTTTTTACATTTCATCTTTGATGTCATTCCAGACTCCCGTCCCTGGGCCGGCCTTTGATAAAAAAGAAACAGGCGGAGGTAGTTAATAGAAGCAAAGTAGTAACAAATAGAAAATCGCTGTATATTTTCATATCCAAAGACGGCATAAGACTACTAGCTAAGTCGAGAGGGTTGTCATTTCCCTGCACGAAAAAGGGCGTTGAGCACTGAGGTGTTTGCCGTTGAGCACTGAGGTGTTTGCCGTTGAGCGCTGAGGTGTTTGCCGTTGAGCACTGAGGTGTTTGCCGTTGAAACTTAGAAAGAGGTCTTCCGCTCGAGGCTGATATAATATTTCCTACTTTGATTGTCCCAGCTATACGATATGAACAAAATTACAACACTCATGAAGACTAAGCGTGTTATGCCATGAATACAACAGCGTTCTCCTTTCTTGGCGGCAAAATGATCTTTGGCTGATCAGTGCACCCTTAACCTGGATATTTGCAACGCTAATAACTACGGTAAGTAGGAGCCCTTGTTTGTGGTACGTGCACAGCTTACCATGATGCAATACTATTATAACCTATGTTTAGGCCTAATGTCCAGAAAAGTGACTGAACAAGTGAGTCAGCTTTCAGGATGTGAGAACTGATCATGCTACACGTAACAGGTCTAGAACATTCAGAAGACATGCCACATTCAAAAGATAGCATAAGCTTCGCGCACAGGAACCAGTGTTCATTAACGGAGGTCGGTAGCACCTTTGTTCATAGCACCGTCAACCTTTTAAACCGGTGCATGCTCAAAGCCGTAATAATTCAAGGAAGCTGTTGCCGAAAAGCTGTATTTTACCCAGGCAGGAAGTGGATAATTTTTGTCTTAGTTTTTAACAGTAATTGAAGAATGTCTTCATCTGTGGGAACTTTACACGTTTATGTAAGTAGCCAATAGGATATATCCACTATTAAAAATGAAATGCCTAGCTCCTCGTTGTCGTCATTCAGCGTATAGGACACCGATCCGACTGATTCGAACGTGTGAAAAACCATGACAGTAATGCCTATCATTACATTCAGCGGTTCGCTCACGCATGCCCCGCTTCGGAGACTGCATCAACCTCTTGTGGATTTCCAAACAAAAATGACTGCAAAATCATACCAAAATTAGATCACATCCAGTCGTACCAGTAATGATTTGTGGCGGGCCTCCATGGTCATTAAGTTCTTCATCCTTCACCTGTAAGGTCTGCAGTACACAACTTTGGCGTTCCTTAGTTGTTTGATAAGTATGTGTGGTGATTAGTTTATTTGCGGGCAGCACTTGTTACGATTCACTTCAATGGCATTCAACCACGACCTGAATGCGTGTACTTTTGTATTCTGAAATATGTGCTTTGTGCCATGCAATCACATGCGTAGCTTGTTAAGTATGTCGATTCACGAGCCTCTGTTGTGCCTGCGCCTTGTGCGCAATTGGGTGCCAGTCGTTTGCGGTCCTAAGAAAGAAACAATTAAGGAGTGTGGTCATATTGTTCCCGAATAATTTCAGTCAAGTAAAGATTGTTTGTTTATGTAAGTAAAAACTGGTTTACGTAATTTTTATAATCACATAAGTTGTTATGTGCATTTGCGGGGAACATTATGCAAATCCATAAGACAGTACCAATAGCCTTATTCCTCATGGAATACCTAGGAGAATGAAGGTATAAATGTTTTGATATTTCGGCTGCACGCATTTGTCGAAGCGAATGCTAGGCATTAGGCAATCATGATGCCATAAATTGTCTTTCCTGGAGGCGTAATGGTGAAGTGGTTAACGCGTTGGACTCGCGAGGGGCACCCGGTTCGAGTCTCGGTCGCGTCATGGTCCCTGAGTGCTAATACGGACAACGCTGCCGCTGGTGCTCCATGAAAGGGGCGCGGCGGCGCGCGTCGCATCCCCTTAAAAAAGAACGATCTGTCTCTTACTTCACGAGGGTCACCAATGGTGCCTGACCTGAACTGGGATCATGTACAAATCTAGCACTCGTGATCTCCTTCCATCGCAATATGTATGCAAAGGCCGGCACAATGCGCTTCCATTTCAATTAAGACAGAACGGGTTTTGGACTGCTCCCAGCAAACCCTGTCTGGCTGTCTGGAAAGCCCGACATCTCATAAGGATGTGGGACACGCGGAATGGACTCCACAGATGACTATGCGATCGCTTTGGGAGTGCTGCCAAAGGCACGGTTTGCACACTTCATCGCGCTAGTTGCTGGGAATGCCCCCCCCCCCCTTCTTGGTTTTCTGTCAGTGATTTGTAACCGGTACCTCGCGAACACACGTCTGAACACAACACACGTCTGAACACACGTCTGAACACACGTCTGATTTCTGCAATGCTTCTAAAACAGAGCTCATCTTGTCATATCTGAATATGCATCATGCCCATGTGACCTGTGCATGTGTGTTTTCTGTGGTTCAAGTATGTGATATTTTGTGTGTAGATTCGGTGCTCCGCACGGAGGCTTCAGAAGACGCTGGCCCATCGGACGATTCTACGGACGTCCTTTCATCGGAGGCCTCGGCTTCGGCATCGGAGGCGTCCTTGGAGGCGGCATTGGAGGCGGCATTGGAGGCGGATTCCTAGCCCCCGGCTATGCTAACCACTTCGGCTACGGCTGGCCTACCTACGCCCATGGCACCTGGTGAAAAGGTTGTCGTTACCTTGAGCTCAGCATGACCATGGTGGTTGCTTTTTCATTGGCATCAGCGTCCCTTGCGCCACACTGCTTTCTCGGACGTTGGAGCGAGGTGAACACTCGCCCTAGAGTTCAGCATATCTTACCTGCATCTAGGTAATCACACCAATCCAGCCTGTACAATCCAGCTCAGCCAGCTTCTGTTGTAATGCGAGTAGCTAATACATGTCGGACATTGATGAGCCTGGTGTGCGTTCTCGCACACTCAGGAAGAAGAAGTCTACTGGGAGAGTTAAGTGCGTTCGCCTGCCCGCGGCACTCGGCGAGGTGGGCGTCATGTATTGAGAAAGAAAGCGAGATTTCACATGCGATCCAGCTCATAAGCCTTTGTGACACATCAAAATCAAAAACTTGTCCGGTTATTTATTTTTCATGGCATTGGTTCTCATGCGAGCTAAGGGTCGGTCACTGCGAGAAGCCAAGGCTTCTGATCGAGAAAATATTACGCGTTTCCACACGGCAACAGAAGACCGACGGTGTTGTGTTCAAGAATGTTTGGTTGGACTTAAAACGCATACGAACAAAATCTCTTGATCCGTCCCATGTACAGTAAGCGTGCAGTTGTTGACGGCCAAACGGTGACACACGACAGACAAACTCGCTGCTCCTGTGTTCCCCTCTCTCCGGGTCGTACAAGCCGGGTCGTCGTGGCTGACCTTGTCGGCCATCGTTGGCCCAGGCGAGAAGTGTCCTGCTTGGAGGTACCGGTAGTTCCGGAGCAACCAGAGGGGGTGGGGCAGACTCCGCGAGACGTCAAGCCGCCAGGCGTGACGCTGGATTGGACGGTTTTTGCGAGGCTGACTGATAATGATGGAAATATTCTGGTACTTATGGGATACTAGTTATTTAGGTGGATAAACCATTCCGACAACGGACTCGTCGCAGCCGTCGGGTTCATAGCAGTGCCATGTGTTTTTAGTTGTGGAGGGCGAGGACTGGCTTAGCTATCAGTAGTCTAGACCATTCACATGCTCCGAAGCTTGTCAGCTTGGCCTGTAATACCTTTGCGTGCGTTATGGCCCTAGGTTTATAAAGATTATATTGTTGTTTATTCCCTCAGCTGCTAGGATTTTTAGCTGACGGTGTGAACAAGCGCTAGGGTTTTATATTGGTGGGATATGTAAGTGTTCGAAGGTGGTGGTATAGCCAGCAGTTCGTCTCGGACGAGGCCAAATTTGGACAGAGGAAAATTTGAGCAAGGAGGGTACATTTGTAGCTGCAGCGACCTCGTTTGTTTATTAGGGGATATTGTTAGGCCCTGGGTCGTGCTGTTATGCTTTGGGGACCCTTTTAAATGTTTTCGAAGTCCCACAGACGTCTTAATTAGGTAAGAAGTAATAATGCCCCCGGCACTGGAGGCTCCACACCCCCAATAACGCCACGTTTGTTTGCCACTTGTGGTGTTAGACGACAACTACGACAAAATTTAAACGCAAATTCCAAACCCGAAAACACAAAAGTTAAGAACTCAAACAAAAGACTTCAAGCAAAATGTGTGCAGACATTTGGTTACCTGTCGTCACTCTAAGTTTTACGTGTACGCCCCTTAAGAAGCGCCTTATTTTCACACAGCGGCGTTTGATGTCCTCTAAATTAAAAATCGGCTAAGCAATCGAGTTGTATGCACTTTTACACCTTGCAGACCGTGCTGTTCTTGGTGATCCCTAAGATTGAGGGGACCCACTTGTTAGATGAAGTCCCGACATTTCTACATGTTCATCTCCTGTGCCACTAAGCCCTGGCGCTGCACATGAACGCTTGCGTCGCTTCAAAGCCGTTTAACGTAAGCTCCCTCGGCAAATTAGCGGACTTTGGTGGTAGCGGAGTAACACCAATGGTTCATTTGTGTCTGCCAAACAATAAAACAGCGAGATAAAAGGTAGGGCGGGTGACCCATCGAAATGTAGCAGCGGCATATGCGTGTTATATCGAGTTGGTTTAAAGAAAATTGGAGCTTGAAGCGTTTGATTCATTTATTTGCGTATTGAAATTACGTTTTTGCTCTCTTACGGTGATTTTAGGTTTTGAGTGATAATTTTCAGGGTTCTAGAATTTGCAATATCTGAATCTATTCAAACATTATTCATCGTGGCAATGAGAGACGTTTTTCAAAGACTAGCCAGAAACGGATGTGTTCATCCGCGTGGGCTTCACCTCTGTTTTAAACCAGGTAATGCCGTCTACCTGCTGGTGATTTTTCTACACGGATGAAACCTGGTTGGCGAGAGCAATTGGACTTTTGCCATCCTTGGGCAGGGGCACTGTTTCGCCAATGTAATTGGGCGGGGTGAAGCCATAGAAAATGACACATTCTACACTCAAAATATACAACGAATAGTTGTTCCCGGCTATAGCCCATTTTCACCTCAAATTTGGGGTGATGGAGCCCAAGCTCTGGAGTGGGCTGGAATCCCCCCCCCTCAACTGAATAGCATACTACACCGCTGCCCATACGATTATCATCGTATCATATTCCCTTCATATGCCCATCACATAGGATTGAGCACAGTGTCTGCGATGTCCCCCGCCAGCGCCAGAGGTTGCCCGCGGCGGCAGAACGGAGCGCCTGGAAGGTGAGCGGGTCAGGTGGTCGGCTGCTGGTCCCGGTCGCGGGTCGCTTGAGCAGCTCGGTGAGTCCTGTTCGATTTGCCAACCCCCTTACCGCTTCTCGTGATGGTGCGACACCTTCAACACTGTGCTCCGAATTGCCTGGTTTCCTTCAGCCCACTTATGGAAACCAACCATATGGATGGACTCCAGGATATCCGGCGAGTCCCACCACAGCGTAGTCTTGATAGCCACCGGAACCTGACGCGGGGTAACCGCCGAAGCCTGGATGTACGTAGCCCAGCCCTGGGAACCCTTCGTTGTATCCTCCGGGCACTCCTGTGTATTTTACGTAGTCGAAGCGTTCTGCGTAGCCTCCTCCCCTCGGGATGCCGCGAAGCACGCCGCTGGGCAGCCTGCAACAGACGGGGCGGGCTGCCAGTGGCTGGGAGTCGGTCACGCAGCCGCACCGCTGCGCGGCCGGTCGTGCCAACCGGGCGGGTGGCCCGCCTCGAATTGGCTGAAGAATGGTGCAGTGTTCTTCCGGATATCCTGTGCGTACTGTCTGTGCCAAAAGGGCTGCAGTGGGGCTCTCTGTGACTAGGTCAGTCCGCGGGTGGCCGCATAAACGGAGGGGGGAACACACCGGACTGGACCGTCAGACTGTTTTCGCAGCGGAGAAGGGGAGATATGCGGGAAAGGCATGGGCCGTGCAATGCGCTGGGCGGTCGGGCTAGCGGCGCGTTCCGTACCCTCGGTAGCCAAGGGATTGAGGGCTTGACCATGACCGCGGGGAGGAGAAAGGGCCTTTTCAAAATTTCCTGCGTTTCCTTGGGCATTTACAGCTTCCCGGAATGGCTCCAACTGATTTTTCAAAGTAACAAGCTTTTTACACGAATTTAAGTGAGCGACTTTTTCCAGGACCGAGCTTGTTGGCCTCTGCTTTAAAGGCCAAAATAGAGGGCCAAGGGTTCCTGCAATTAGCTGAGCATACATGGAAATATATTATCTGTTAGAGGTATGAAAAGCTGAGATGCAGGTTTGTGATTGATCTGATATTTATCAGCTTAATAGGAGTTTTCTTTTCATAATATAATAATTATGCGGAGGTTTGGCTTTAACACGGGCCCAATAACAGATGATTTCATATGGTTGTTTTAGTTCGTAACGTTAGATGGCGAAAGAATAAGATCAACAGCTATTATGTTGAAAATCTGTTTCTCTTCGTTCCAGGTAAATAAAACTAGGTTACATCTTTATATGATCATTCTCTTCAAGCAAGAAACATGCTCGAGATTGAAAATTAAAAAATAATAAACGTGTTTGCAACGGGAAGGTGTCAGGTCTCATAGGCTCGTTGGACAGACCTCACCAAGACCCCAAATTTAATCGATGGATTAGGCAAACCGATCCTACCTGTTAACAGCCCTATGCAAGGATCACTGGCTTTTTGGTGTGACATTTCAAGCTGTTGTTCAAGGAAGGCTCAGCCTGTAAAATGCACGGTGGTAAAGACAAATCAGATCCCTTTGAATTAGCAGGTTGTGAGACACCGTTTTGAGAAATGCCCATAGGCGAGCGAATTGTGCAAATATATCATGAGCATGAGAGTGGGCTGAGCATGTAGTTTTTTTCGACACCAATTGCATCCCTCTTTTTATGGATTACCTTTACATGTATGTTGGTTATGAAGGGCGTTTGTCCTCAGCTTGCTTTTATGGTTAACGGGTACGGGAAAACTAGGGCATAGGAGCGGGGAGTAGCAAAGCACAACCGCCTCTGACCAGTCACAGATATCGTCAAATGTATCTTCCATGACAAAGGCGCCGTTTACCAGCACGTTATGCACCAGTTGACTTTTGTCACCAATATCTGGAAGTCACCATCCTGATTGTGAGTGAGATAGCATGCGACACGATAATGAGCAAGATGAACACCAGCCTGCGAGTATCTAGAAAAGCCTGTGACGCAGAACTGTCTTAAAAGACAAACGCATGCAGACCTCAAACAACTCGTATGAAACCAGCATCATCCATCAGATGCAACGACGTGACCCTCAAACCCGTGTTTCGGGTCATCAACGGGCGACGCACTGTTTCACATGGGCGCTTCGCTAGCAGGTAGCCTGTGTTCCATAACTAGTTAACGAAGCGGATGACACTACCAGAAGATTTCCCTTTGACAGCGCGTTCATTTTTTTAGATTCAGCCCGACGTATTGATTACATGGTTTTAGGACCAGCGCCCACGCGGTGTTCGTTGTATGAGCCCCGACTCAGTGATCTGGCCATGACATTGCGGACCCATGACAGGATTTTGCAGCGAAAGCTTAACGTGCTGCAGAAGTGAGCGCGGTCCATGCTGTACTAAGGCGTCACCTGCCGCCATGGCCGCAGATCATGCCAGCCAGTCCCAAATAGCGAGGGCTTAGCCCAGCTCGAACCAACCCCGCACGGGTGAGTGTGTAGGAAGGCAGGCACTCTAACGCACTGAACCACCGGAGCGAACCGTTCACAGCAGATGTGGCGGACGGCGAACAGTTCACAACAGATGTGGCGGACTGCGAACAATTCACAGCAGATTTGGTGGACTGCCTTCGCAAGCAGGCTAATGCCATGACGCACGACGACGCGCTAATCCATGGTGTAGCGTGCAGACAGCGACGCAATCTCGTGACCAAAGGCGCTGGCTTGCCAGCTTATTTGAGCGGCATCCCTGCTGCTGACGTATTTACCTGGCTCTGGGTGGCACGTGGCAACTCTGGATAGGGGTTTCGACTCGAGAATTCCGCTCGCGCAGACTTTTGCAGTGCTACCTGACGACTTTTGTAACATCGTAGTTCCTAATTGGCTCCACCTGACGGATAATTTTGCGCGATGAGACCCGAAAGTGATCGACTGGCTAAAAAGATTTGGTACCGAACCAGCATTTCGCCAACATGGGAAGGGGGAGGGACATTACCGCTACAGGACTCTACATGAAATGGGTCCTGGCATGGAACGATAGACGGCAAACTTAAGCTGCGTTATGTTCCTATCTCGTACCCCCAAGGTCTCGCGTGCGAGCAAATGACAGACAATCGTTTTGTATGCATTGGGGCATTTACCGTGTTTGTAATGTATCGGAGTCTTAAGCGGCCCTACGTTTCTTAGGAGTCTGCTCTGCTTTACGCTATCTCGCAACGCTCCGTCCTACTGCTGTCCCCACGTTGATCTCAAGCGAGGAGCCACGTCCCCTCTGTGTGTGCATGTGTGTGTGCGTGTTTGGTAACCGGTAGCGGACATCATGACTTGATAGCAGGGAGCATCGATGCGTCACCACAAGGCACGAAGACCTCTCGGACAGGACCCTGAAAGCGCCTCCCAATATAAGCGCGTCCCGCTGTGCCTGCCACATTTGAGAACCACTGCCACATCCCTACACCCTGCTGTGCGGCCACGTACGCTCCTCTTCTGATGGTGGCGGCCGTGTCGAGGTCGGCATCCGGGTCGGCGGCCTGTGCTGGCGCATCGGAGGCGACGACGGTTTCCGACGCGGCTCCGTCGGTCGGGGTGCAGGCGGCGAGGGCCGCGCCGGTCAGCAAGAGCAGCGGCACGAGCTGCGGAACAGCGGCGCACCGCGTCCGGTGAGGGTAGTCAGGGTCCACCGCGTCACGTCAGCTCAGCTGCCTGTGCGGTCGCCGTGATGAGGCTCGGGATCTGGGACGAGGCTTTAGCTTGACCTTGCAATGACTGTACACAGGTGGTGTGCCATGGCGTATATCACCGCGTCGCAACAGCTTCAGTGACTCTTAACCGAAAGCCGTTTGGAACCTGGACTCACTGCACCGTTCCAACTCAACGCTGCAGGGTCGGAACCATCGCTGCGGTTGGTAAGGCTTAGACATATTTAAACTTTAGACCGGTTGGCATTTTTCTCCGTACGAACTGACATGGAAGAGTACCGTACGCCAGTCGGACTGCCTTCCAGCCACGGCAAACTTGCTCGAGTGATCGGGTCACGCTCCTGGCTGAAATCCAGCGGACTGTGACCGCATACCAGCAGGATGGTACGAGTGGAATGACAAGGTACAGGCGTAAGGCTAAACTCCAATTTGGGTGACGCTATTGATGACACTTGTAAGGCTGGTGAGGTTGCCTGGCATCAAACCCACACAGCACAGGCAAATGATTAAATGGTGTCATTTCTGCATGTGCATGCTCATATGCTCATCGCATTTCAGTCACTTGTGAAATGGTTTCCGTGCAGATAAGAGTTTAGCGCGCGGTGATGTTTGCAGGGTACAGACCTATAAACTCCCATATGAGCACAGCTTGTTACATCTAAAACAGGGGACGAATGCAAAGGTAGCAAATAACAACGCGCTCAAGTGATGCACGTGCATCTACATACTGCGTCATACTGGACTGTTCTTTGTTCTTTTCTAAAATAATCAAGCGCGTGTAGACCCCGACAAGCGTTTGTATGCATATGCAGCTGCCAACTTTTGTTCAGCTCAATTTTTCTTGAGTCAGGACTGGCTCAAAGATTTTGGGATCCCATTCAAATCACGACTCGTAGCCGTTCCAACCGTCTTAACTGGACTTAGCTCAGACTCATTGCCTGCACTGAATCATTTGACTCATGACTCACGCAGCCTGAAAATCAAAGATCCGATTGAGTTGTTACTCGCAAATATATATATATATATATATATATATATATATATATATATATATATATATATATATGTATATGTACATTTATCATGATATGGAAAAGGGTACAAATAGAACCTAACAAATGCAGCGCAGCAAACAATACCTTTCCTGCGATCCGTTACTACCAGCTTCCTCAAGCCTCAGCTCTAGGTTAATATATTTCACCTGGCACCTACGGCCTAGACCCATCAGTGATATAGCATACAATGTAGACTAAACTGTACTTAACCTGACAGCTAGCAGTCTGCACCTGGCAAATGCCGTCAAAAAGCATTCATAGTTGGGTAATCACCTTTTCACTAGCTAGTGCTAGTCATGCCGTCGGAGATGGCGTATCAACAATTTAACATCGGATTGTAGTTCCAGCAAAACCGAAAAACTTATGAGTATATTTTTAGCGTAGCTACTTACGTGAACTTAATAAGTATCATGAATTGCGATTGCATTTCTCATAATCAAGCCAGCACAAGCCTACTTCACTTCACCCTGTCTTCCAGTCAGCAAGTAACTGAACTGAACCGGACTAAACTGGATTCTGAACAACTGAACTAGAGATAGGCTAACGTAGACACCGACTGTCTTTGCACTAGGATACCTTAAACTCATTTCATCAGGTCATTCGGTGACGGATTAGGAGTCAAACAAGATTTCCGTGCTGCGTAGAGAATAGGACGCTGTGCGCCACATTATCTGCATTCCAAGACTACTAAACTACTAAATTTTGTACGCCAAATTCTTACTTTTAAGTTGCGCGTTGCGTGGAAATAGGTATTGATAGAATCCATCGGGCCATGGCTTCTATCCACGTCCACATATCCCGGACCATATCTACGCCTGGGACGTGGCATTCCTCGACATGCAATCTGCATACGAGTCATACAGCCTCAGCAATAGCATGCTTGCAGCAGTTCAAACATTTTTCTGGTGAGCCTACTCAGTTCACGACTCACCCTAAAACGGTTGACTCTCGTTCCAATTCATAACTCAACTGGAGTCGAATACAAGTCTGCACAACTGCAGCCTTTTTGCAAAACAGCATACGTGACATGCATTCAGAATGGGTATCAGACTTTATTTTTCTATCTGCTGAAAAGCGCGCAAAGCCTGGCAAACCCTAAATATTGTACTTGCCTTGTTCAATCAGTGACTTAAAGCTAATTCGTTCTCTCAGTTTACTCAATGCTAACTCTTTCACTCGCTGTACTCAATGTGTACTCTTTCACTCAGTGTACTCTTTCATTCAGTGTACTCACGTGCTGCATGTTGTTGTTGGTGGGATGGTGATGCGACTAAATGGTGGTGCAGCCTACAGTCCCTTTTATGCAGTACCACTGAAAACGCGTCATCTGCACGGTTTTAGAATGTACTGGGTACTGTGGTCTTAAGCCCTGTGTTTGCAGAGCCAAGGCAACGTCTGCATTGGGTCTGGAATGAAAAACCGCAGCACTTGGAGTCTTTTCATAGAGATTAAATGATTTGTGGACGAGCCAGTCGTTAATCGTCGCTCTGAGAAATCTGTGCAGAACGTGCACAAAAGCAACTGTGTTTTCCAACAGATAACACCGTATAAATAGCATTATTCCTCGAAGCATAACCAGGAGAATGGTTATATAGATGTATGGTATGTCGGCTACATCCCTTTATCGAGACGAATATCAGCCATACTTCATGTATGACTGATTTTGTTGCGGAGCTAATAGAGAATTGATCGTGCATTTGTGTTTGCAAACACGCAATTTAAGATAAATTATATTTCGACAGCCCGCCGTCATTCGTATCTATGTGAGAAATATCCGCAAAAAAGCCCTGTGGGCTTTTCAAGCCCGCATGTGGGCCTGCGAGCTCAAAAGTGGCAGCTCTGCTATGCATTCACTCCGTTAACCATTTGCTACGATTGCCCGTTGCTGCAGACGCTCAGTGTATTGCGAAGGCTTTAGACGCAAATTTGTTGACCAAGTGAACTGTTAGGTGTGATTATAACGCCTTTACGCATTTCGTTATCATACGGGATTATCACGACACGCCACGGTCAATGTTTCAGATTGCCAGAAAAACAGCAAAAAGGCCTAAGATTAAGCAGCTTTTTGTTTATCCCAGGAAGTGAAAAATGTTCATGCTTTCTGATGGCTATTTTTCCAGATTTATTTCACTTAGAGGATACTGAAAAAATTCACAAGCGGTGGGAAAGTTACCTATTTACAGAATATGATCGGCGACGGAAATGGGCGCTTTAGCGAGCTATTTGGGGATAGAATTGCGAAAATGAATTCTAAGAATAATTACAACAGAACATTCGTTAGACGAAACCCAACACTTAGTATTGGTCTGTACTGGCTAACGCCTGCAGCGTGAGCTTGTGAAGAGCACACGTCGAAGCTCTGACGTTTTGCTGTATGAGCAAGGTCAGCCACAACATCCTTCCAAACATAGTAGATTAAATTAGGATAGTTTTCGGTAAGTGACGGAAATACACAAGCTATGCTATATCGGTGCTGACGTCATGGATTAGTGGTGACGCGGTGTTTTATAATCTCCTCGGATCAGTGCTTTCACAAAGCTCGGCCAAGATCCGCCTCACACAATAAACAGCATAAAACACCAAACAAATGGCTCATTACTAGTCGTAAGAATCATGACGCCTCATTTTCTTGCGACGAACGTATGCAGTCTGCCAAGCGGCGTTTTAGATCGTCGCGCCATTTGAGACAGATGGCTCCGAATGCTCGTTGGGGTCCCCATCGTGCATCCGTTGATGTTTATATTTCTTAATGTCACCCCAATGCATCAATTCTTAATTATCCACATTAGTTGCATCGAAAGCGGTTTCTCAATATGTCAGCTGTAAGGAATCAAAAACACCACAATAATTTGTTGGCTGTGTCACGCACATTGCCCAGTTTTGCGGGATACGATATTGTACTGGCTCCCTCGTCTTGTCCGCTAGGAGTATACTTATCAGACAGTACCCGCCAGTGGGCGGAGGGGGGTCCGTCAGACAGTACCCGCCAGTGGGGGGGGGGGAGGGCGTCAGACAGTACCCGCCAGTGGGCGGAGGGGGGGGGGTCGTCAGACAGTACCCGCCAGTGGGCGGAGGAGGGGGGGGGGGATCCGTCAGACAGTACCCGCCAGTGGGCGGAGGGGGGGGGGGGTCGTCAGACAGCACACGCCAGTGGGCGGAGGGGGGGGGGGTCGTCAGACAGTACACGCCAGTGGGCGGGGGGGGGGTCCCTCAGGCAGTACCCGCCAGTGGGCGGAGGAAGGGGGGGGGTCCGTCAGACAGTACCCGCCAGTGGGCGGAGGGGGGGGGGGTCCCTCAGAGAGTACCCGCCAGTGCTGAGGTGTCCGCCACAATGCGTTCGCCTGTGAGCAAAACTGCCTGAGTTTGCCAACCGCAAGTCGCCAGTGTGGGCGTCGAATCCTCCTGAAGGCGGCCTTTTGGTATCCCTGCACGTGAAGTACTGGTCAAGAAGCTTTAGATCCCGGCGATAGCTGTTTACAGACGAGAAAATTCAGGGTGACCGTGCTGAACAGAACTGGGTACCGTCTTCAGGTCACTCCCGCAGGCTTGGTTATGACAGTTGCCGGTTGGACCTAAAACAGAGGCTTTAATCTACCTTAAAGGGCGGTGTTGATGCAGTAACATCAGTCATCAATGAGCTTGTTATTGCATAGGGTACTGACTCCAATGTCGATCTCAAAATGCCGGTCCCGTGAGGTCCTCGGCCAATTCTCTTGAGTTTTGATAGCGCATTACTCTTACCCTGCAATGCACGCAAATGAGCACTTACGCATACACAGAAACACATGCGCACAAGGCATACATGGCATAGCATAACATCGAACGCAGCATATTCGCCCCATAGCTCAGTTGTTGACGCCTGCCTCCCGATTTGCCCACATGCGGTGGTGCGCGTTCGAATCGCTCTACGTGCTCGCCACTTGCCCCTGACTGGGATGACCTGCGGCCGGTAGCAGCGGCTGTGCTGAAAATCAGCTGATGTAAAAGGGTAGAAGGCGGATTGTGCCGAGCATTGAGATATGCTATGTTTTTTATGTATATTTCTGGTGTTGTCATGGACCTTAACGATCGGGTGGCAAGACCATGTTTCACACAACAAGCGCTGGTTAGCTGAGCGCCAATCCCAGTGATCCATCCTATCAAAAGATTTGAACTAAATACCAAAACACCTGTGGCCATATGCAACACCGGGTAAGATATCCCGGGTGTGGGAAAAGGGTGAAGGCAATGTTCAGCATCCGGTTATGACCACTATCGCGCGAGATTACCATAATACTGCACAGTTGAGTGCGCTTTGACCTGCGTCCACAACTTGGGAGCAATAGGAGTCAGACATTGCAAGCCATTCAGTCATGACAGGTGCGCTACGCATGTACAGATCGAGACCCTCCGAGCAGTTCCAGATCGTGGTAGTCTTGAGCCCACACCAAACAGGGTCCCACTTCGGATCCCCTCCCCCACCCCTTCCTCTCGCCCATCATGGCTTTTTCCACGAGATTTGCACCAACAGCCATCGGCTTAACACGCGGCAGGCTGCAGGCAATGCACGCGAGATCTCCGGCCGAGAGGCAGGCTGCCGACGCGGCGCGAGCGGGCCCTCCCGACGTCCGACACCGCCCGCCAGAACCGGCCCGTGGCGCCGCATCGCCGCCGCCGGCGGCAACCGGGATGAGCGCTCGCCGCGACCGTCGGGCAGATTCCGGGAGCTATTGAGCTCAAGGGCGGCCTTGCTCGCCGGACTGGTGATCCTGAAGCCGTGGCAGCTAGAGCTTTCCATAGAACGGGTTTTCCGACGGAAGGCGCGGGGAGGAATCGATCGTTTTGAGCCGGCGACAAGGACGGATCTGCACTGGCGACAATCCTGCGTCAGCAAGGGCTTCCGCCTTCAGATGATTTGCGACTCATTGTTGCGACAGCACAGCAGTGACGTTGTTCACTTGAGTTTCGGTAGGAAGAGATCTGGCAGTATACCTGTCCACAACTGTACGATCTTGCTCATAGCCAGCAAAGCGCAATTTTATCAAAATATGCGTGTTTACAAACATGTTTTACATTATCTGCACAACATTTCGGCCCAAAAAAAAACGCTGACAAAAGGCGTGTGGTTAAAAAATAGGCGTTTAAAGTTTTTTCCAAAACTTTTAAAAAGTTATCTATTGTCGTCGTTTGTAAAAATGGTTTTAGCTCCGGGTTACGGTTCGTCGGACTGAGTCTGTCTCTATTTCCCGGCAGCGCAAAATGTCGGGGTCAATCCGGATTCCAACGAAAAAAAGGGACAATTCTGGAATTAATTCCGATGGAGATGCTTACAGCGACAAGTCTGCCTCGTGACCGCTTGAACGCCTCGCCGGCCCTTGGGAGAGTTAGTTGGGAGTCCGGTGCCATAAAGTTATAGAAAGCGACACTTCTGAGATATCTGTCATTCGCTGAAACCAGCTGTCTTACGATCCCTCCATCACCGTAAGGCTCTTTGGATTTTGCGGGGATGCTTGATACTGACTGATGACCTCATACCAAAATTCGCCGTAGATGACCTTATGTCACATTATAACTTATTCTAGGTTCCGGGTCCCAAAAGCAAGCAAAGGGACGCCTCTACCTTTAGGAGTGGAGCTTTGCGTGTTGTATTGAGGATTGAGGCATTGAACCTTACCCGTCCTATCTTTCAACCAGACTTCTTCGCGGATTTCGTCCACTTTATTCTGTGGCCATAATGTGGAATCCCTATAAGAAAATATAAATAGAAATACTTCATAATTAAAAGAAAAATATTTTCAGCTCCTGGTTTCTCGGTATTATGAGCTCCAGGTTCTTAGGTACCAGGAGAAATTACTTAAAAGGCCTTGCAGTGCTAAATAACGATTATATCAATAGTACCCAATACTTCGAGCTGTACGCATCCTCAAGAGCTTATCTCTTCAAGATGGGCATAGGACGGCACGTGAGTGTTAGCATCTGAATATATTTCGTCACAGACGACCCGTGGCCCCTGAAAATGTGATGCAAGGATTTCTCGTTTTGTTTTGGTTCAAGGTTGGGTTATTTGCTGACGAAAAGCTAGCCACTAGTTGGACACAGCACCTACCTGTCATCATGGATACTGCACGTGGCCACGAATGGTGCGGCTTCCATGCTACCGAAGGGCAGTGATTTTGAGTAGCTGTTAACTCCTTCCGGAAGCACTAGTGGGGTTAAAGAAGATACGTCGTTGGATCGTGTGACGGCAATGCTCCTGGGCTATCGAGATTTGATAGGTTTGTTCTTTATTGTAATCGATCAAGGCCTTGCAGGTGGGGGTGGATTTAGACGGGCGAGCAGCATGGGAGCTACACCATCTACCACCTCCGGCCACTCATGAGGTTTTGGCACCACTTTGAGGCACAAAAAAATGTTGTGGTGAAGGATATCATAACCTTAATCTCGGATCCACAAGACAACAAATTTCAAGAACGCTGCAAGGGGTCACCAATCTTCATTTTTGAGCTGTGCCAAATTATAGAAGCACAAAAATATGCGTCCTGTGTCCATTTCGCAAACTCCTGGATCGGCCTACTTGGCAAAGGGGCGCTAAAACCACCATCATTTCGGGCACCATAACCTTCATTTTCAAGTGGTTTTCAACTCCATATGGTACCAGTAAAGGCTCCTAGTCTTAATTTTCGAGCGCACCATACTTTCGGGGCACGACAACTCTGTGCCTCTCACCCCAAATGAAATCCTTGATTGGTCCCTTGGGCCTCTGGGACAGAGGGGGCCTCGATGTCAGTCAGGTGACCAAGGCCACGAATAGCGAACATTCGGTTCCTCACTGTTTCGGACCCTGGGGCCCCTCTCTCAAGTGGGGGCAAGGCCTTCTGTATCTTCTGGTACCGCCTGAACCCCCTTTCAGCCAAAGAAGAAAGGAGATACTTACATAAAGCAACGCAATTTCCTTAACAAAAAAGGGCAAATCCTGCGTTTTTGGGGTGCAACCCCATTCACACTCCGCACTGGGCAATGTGTACAGTAAGACTTACCACCATTGAATATATATATATATATATATATATATATATATATATATATATATGTATACGCATATTTGGAGCCAAATATCAGCAAATTACTGTATTTTGCTAGGATCCACCAGCATCCATCCATAAATTTTAAGATTCTCAGTGGCAACCATGAGCAAGTTTTTTTTCTAAACTGAGGGCACATCAGCATAAGGTATATTTATATATATATATATATATATATATATATATATATATATTGGAATATTTTGGCAGAATTCTTTCTTTGATACATGTTTGATTAAAAATAACTGCTGACTCAGCATTAACGAGCTTTTTGATGCATCGTTCTAGTTTCCGGGCCTTTGACTTTGCGTCATCGCTTAGATTAAATATGGTTCGCACAAAATTACTCATATATTCATCACTCCTTCCATTCTAGCGTTTCGAGATCTTATCTCATCTTCGGAGAAGACTAAATTGCACATGAAATAAGTTTTGAGTTTTAAAGGATGAAAAAATTGTGCACTACTGTTGGAAAACATCTTTTAGTACGGAGAACATAAATGAAGCACAACTAATTGAAGTAAGACGGATCGCTATTTTCATCTTCATACATATAAGAAACACTCATAATGGGAACATCACAAAGACACAATGGGAACACTATTGTCACAATCACATCGGAAGTGCTCACCGCCCACCACCTAGTAGCTCAAGAGTTCTGCAAGAATTTGTCTGTCTGTTTAAGGCCGGAGAGAGTTCGTTAATGAATATGCTTTCCCAAATTCTTCTTCTGTGTCAGTGTCAGTGTCAGTGTCAGTGACAGTGTCCTCGACGCTACAAAATTAGCGTCATAAGGTCCTTTCTTCGACGAGCATTTAAGCACTGCTCTGATTGGACAGGACTACATTCAGAATTGACACGAATCAAACAGATCCTGGTGAACAACGGTTTTTCAAATTCTGACATTGAAAACGAGACACAACGACATATGACAAGACACTTTGACAGCAAACCAAGGCAAGACATCCAACCGACCGTCAAACTGTACTATCAAAATCAAATGACATCCGCTCACAAACAGGATGAAAGAGCTTTACGGGAAATTATCTCTCAACATGTTAAAGGCAAAAACGACCACAAAATAGACATTGTCATTTACTATTGTAATAAGAAGATATCGAACTTTCTTATGAGAAACAGCCCAGACAAACACGACAAACTGAAATGCACCAATGTAGTGTATCAATTCCAATGCAACATCGAAGGCTGCAAACTTCGTCCCACACACTACATTGGTGTGACCACAACGACACTCTCACGACGCCTGACAATGCACTTACGTGACGGGGCACCCCTGGACCACATGCGACAGGAACACGACATGGCATTGACACGACAACAACTGACAGACAGCACGGACATTTTACGGACGTGCAGTGACAGAAGACGCCTTCAAATTTGGGAAAGCATATTCATTAACGAACTCTCTCCGGCCTTAAACAGACAGACAAATTCTTGCAGAACTCTTGAGCTACTAGGTGGTGGGCGGTGAGCACTTCCGATGTGATTGTGACAATAGTGTTCCCATTGTGTCTTTGTGATGTTCCCATTATGAGTGTTTCTTACATGTATGAAGATGAAAATAGCGATCCGTCTTACTTCAATTAGTTGTGCTTCATTTATGTTCTCCGTACTAAAAGATGTTTTCCAACAGTAGTGCACAATTTTTTCATCCTTTAAAACTCAAAACTTATTTCATGTGCAATTTAGTCTTCTCCGAAGATGAGATAGGATCTCGAAACGTTAGAATGGAAGGAGTGATGAATATATGAGTAATTTTGTGCGAACCATATTTAATCTAAGCGATGACGCAAAGTCAAAGGCCCGGAAACTAGAACGATGCATCAAAAAGCTCGTTAATGCTGAGTCAGCAGTTATTTTTAATCAAACATATATATATATATATATATATATATATATATATATATATATATATATCTCTCTCTCTCTCTCTCTCTCTCTCTCTCTCTCTCTCTCTCTCTCTCTCTCTCTCTCTCTCTCTCTATCTCTCTCTCTCTCTTCCTCTTTCTCCTCTTGCAGATCAATTGGTTAGCATTTTAAGCAACATATGGCACCTCTAAAGGCAATTGGAAAGGAAGGAAGAAGAACACACGCTTACGGTGCCAGGGAAAACAAGTCATTGATTAGAAATAAAAAGTAATGTTTTTGTAAAAATCTTGTAATCAGCTGCTTTGATGTAAAATGTTTTAACTTGAGTGCTCAAATTGTGATATTCGTTTTGTAAATTTCATTTAGAAGACATTTCCTGTACCTTTCGCTCCTGCATATTGGGAGTGATGCAATTTAGTGGTCAAGTTTTTCGGGTAAACGAAATACGTTAAGTAAAATTCTCTACCAGGCCTTGCTGGAGTTCTCACCAGGCTCTTCTTTCGTGGTGTGGTGGTGAGGCCAAAAATTGGGGTTGCGTAAAAACTTTGTATTTGGCACACATCTCTCGGTTATGATACATTTTGTAAACAAACCAAACTTGATGGGTACAAGCGGCTGGAGTCCCTGGGGTTCTTGGGATTAAAGGTACCTGGCATCCTTGCTCTGTGCATACATAGACATTCAGTTGTAGGTGAGGCAGTACATAGCCATAGGTGTCCAGGTCCTGTGTAGCCTTGTTTATGCTTGGTGGTTTCAAGTCAATTCGGTTTTGGATGGCATCTGAAAACCTCAGAAAGGGGAATATGGGTCTGGCATGTGCGATTAGACAATGTCAGGCAGGAGTGAAAAATTCACATGAAGTATGGGGAAAAGGGGTGAAAAATTCCGCCCTCAAGGGTGTTGCTTTAACCCAAATTCGGCAATTCTTGGACACTGGTTGTGGGTGTCATCCCGTTACGCTGCTGTCAATCACTGTCCAGGTATATGTTGGTCAGTTGCAAGGCACCCGGCTGCCGTCGATTTTAGGTATGAGGGGGGGGGGGCGATGGGTTCGTCGCATGATGAGAGCCGGTGCTGATGTTTTTGTCCTTTTGTCAAAAAGGTATGGACAACTGTGTATGTCATGGAGAAGGTAGCACTATTTACCCAGTCAGGCATCATATATTTTCCCTGCAGGTAATTATATGTTAAGTATGTGGCAGTGGTAGGTGCATCAAACCGACACATTTCATACTCCAATATATTCAGTATATAATTTATTTGGTATATAATTATTCCAGTATATTTCATTAACACACAAGTAGCTCACATGAACTGTCATCACCCTTCAGTAGTAGCTTGAACAAGTGCATCAAACCCATGTAATACCATGAGGGATGTTGACATAAATTCCCTGGGTTGGTCAGCTCCTGTAGAATTGCAGTTGCTTGTTTCCATATGTTGGTGCTTCAGGTGTGTCCCTGGAAATAAAATAAAACTTTTAACTCTTTTTATGAAAGCCTGGGTTGTACACCCTCGTGGCTATCAACAAAGCGAAACTGTCTGCCTTGCTATGTTTACCCAGGTTCCAACCTCATGCATTTGCAATGGCGCTTTTACTTTCTAGGGTGGACTGCAGCAGTTGTGCGGAATAAAAATTGTCATTCTTTCTAGTCAAGAGCTGGGAGTTCAAAATTTCCTGGTATCGCATCAACCAAAAAATGGAGGTTTTCCCATGCTGGATATTTTGAAAAATGAGCTCACCTCAAGGGGGATAGCCACTGATGTAAAGTAAATTGTATGACTCATTATGTGATTCAAGTTTGGGATTGAAGTCACAGTATACCATGTAATAAGAGGTGTCTGTTAAATCCTACATCATACTGGTTCTGCTATGGCATTGTGGCATAGGAAATAAATGTGTTTTGTTGATAGACAGGAATTGCAGACATGAAGAATTGATTTTTTTTAAAGCAGTTTAAAACTATGATACAATCCAAATAAGAAAAAGCAAATCTAGAAAATTGCATTTCCTGGCCCAACCATGTAATTGGGCTGTGCCTTTATGTAATCTAGAATGATAATATTTCTACTTTTCCAACAATTATGATCTCTTTTAACCATGTTTGAACATCATGTGGGTGCCCAATTTCACAGACTGATCCTGCAGTCACAGCAAGCTCATATAGAAGTGCTCCATCATCTGCTCCAGTTATGGATATCATAGTGATTGGCTCATGCATGACTGATCAGATATGGTAAGATATGTGATTGGTTGTAGCTACAAGCATCAGTTCATGATTCAATTAAATGCATCAGTTCATGATGTATGCTGAAGCTTCCAAATGCATGAGTGATTCATGCAGTCTAGTCTGAGATATGTATATTGACTGGTGGAAAGCATCCTCAGATTCATCTTTTGGAACTAAGGAAGCTAAGACCAGACTGTGGCTAAAAAATGGCATTCAAAATGCTTGCTGAAAAATAATGTAATTGAGGATAGTAGTTTGTTTAAATATGTTTGGCTGTACAAACATGTTTAAATATTTGTGTTCATGTGCATTAAAATGGCTTAGACTTTCAGCATTCAGAAATTTTCAAATGTGCTAGTGTTTGCATGATGATGTATATGTTTGATATGCATATGACCATGTAATTCATATAAAAATTGATCCCTACCTCATGATGTACCACATGCCTTTAGGTTTGATCAAGTAGACAAAATGTTTTTACTTCTCAACAGTGGATCAAAGTTAGATGTATCATTGTTCCTCTTATCTAGTCTGATGTGTTTTTCAGCTACACTTCTCGCCTTCCAAAGCCTGGGGAGACTATCCATGGTACCAAGTTTTCTATGTCATTCGGCGGGAAGGGTGCCAACCAGTGCGTGATGGCAGCGAAACTGGGCGCTAAAACAGCCATGGTCGCAAAAGTAAGCCATTCAGTCTGTATGTTGTTTATGTCTAGGGGTTTGGACAGATTGTGTGTCAGCCAGTATTTCAATCATTTTCTGTAGTCTATTTTGTATGTGCAAGTCATTAGCCATCAAACTATTCAATGTCATTTTCGGGTGAAATTCACGGCAATCAATAGTAGCGTGATTTGAATGCATGCAGTCAACATTTAGCTGTCGATTTCGGTTCGCCCCCGCTGTTGAGCGGCGTTGTTTTGGGCTTGGCGCTGTGCGCGCCGCCCTCCCGTTTCCCCAGGATTCAGTGTCGTCTGACATGACCCCTCTCCTCTTCGCTGCATATCTGCGTCGTCAGCTGGGCGAGGACACATTCGGCCGACTGTACCTAGACAACCTGCTGCGCTGCGGGGTCGACGTCGGTCACACGACAACCAGTGGCGCGGCGGCGACGGGCGTGGCGCAGATCTGCGTCGACGAGGCCGGTATGACCCGCGACGGCGCAGCCTAGCGCGCCGCGGCCGCTGCCTGTGGTTGCCGCATCGGTGGAGATCGATGTGGAGATGCGCGGCTCTTGCTGGACTCCCCGGTGCGTCCTCCGAGCTAATGACATGATACGCCAGATTGGGACGGCAGGATTTGTGCCGTGTCGAGGAAGTGCAGACTATACAAGTCCTGTTGTTTCCCGCAATGTTTCCCCACCACCTGGGGTTTTCGTGAACGGGAGGGTTGGCCCAGGTCGAGCGCGACGCTCGCCGCGTCTGTGTGTCCGCCAACATCTCCGTCTCGACTCCGGGCAGGGATGAACTCGATCGTGATCGTAGCTGGGGCGAACCTGGAGCTGAGCGCGGCGGATGTGGCGCGTGCCGACGGCCTGCTCGGCTCGGCGCGCGTGCTGCTCTGCCAGCTGGAGGTGCCGCTGGAGACGACGCTGGCCGCGCTGCGCGCCGCCCGTCGACATGGAGGTCAGCCGACCGGACCTCGGCGCGAGTGGCCCGGAGGCAGGCTTATCCTGTGTCGCGGTAACCGGCTGATCTTGCGATGGTGCAAGTGGGCCAATCCAACATCATCCAGCGGGGTTCATGAAAAGGGGTTATCTGTTGCAGGGGTTTTGAACAGACGGACCGGCGTCAGGGAAGCCACCCCCACTAGTCGTGAGCGTGGTTCAAACATTGTCACCAGGCCGCTGGACGGCGTTGTCGTGCCCGCATGAGTAAAGAACGGGTATTCTTGTTGCGCGCACTGCGCTGGGGACTGCAAGCGTGGTGCATGCGCAAGCAATGGTTCCTATTCGACGAGTTTATATGTCGTGCTCTACATTTCACGGTAACGGCGATTCACCTGGCATAAGGAATGCAGTTGTTGGTGCTAAATGTTTTGTTCCTCTTTGTATGGTATTTGTGTTATTTTATTTTGTGTTTCCAAGCAAACTGTTTGACACCATCAGTTTCTACTGCTAGTCTATGCAGTTTTGCCTGACACCAGCGGTTTGCCTACAGTGACAACTGTAGTGAATGCGGCTCCTGCACAGCCGGTCAAGGACGGCGATCTGTTCGAATTGTCCGATATCTTCTGTGTCAACGAAACGGAGGTAAACAGATGTTATCTGTGGACGATAAGTGTTGCCACGTGCAGTTTGTAGCGCTGCTGAGTGTTCGCGTCGTTCACGTCACATGCTCACACACGTGTTTGCGACATGTTCACATGTTCACGTCACACTCGGTTCCCCTTAATACCCTCAGCTTCATTACAACAGCTAAGCTGGATAATTTTTCGAGTCATATGGTTTCGTGGGTTGAAGTTGGTGGAGAACGGAATAGGAAATGGTTGATTTGGCTTTACATCCGGTGTAAGGGTTGGGGTGCGTTCATCACGCATACCTATAAGTGTTTTTCTCCACCAGACGTGTAAAAATACGAATTTGAATCTCCCATGAAATGACCTTGCATCACACTTGCTTCTGCTGGTTGGCTAAAAACCAGTAATTTCTACATACACGTATCGTACTTCATCAATAAGCTTTCGTGTTCTTGACATACTCTCACCATAACATGTTCCTAGTTTGTGTAAGATATTTCGCTAATAAGTAATGACAACGAATTGCTTGTCCCCGTTGCCTCTCTGATTCTCAGGCCGCATTTCTCGGTGCGTTTCCATTTTCTTCCCGCTTGCTAGCTCCGATAAACCGCCGCGCGTGTGGACCCGGTCCACCTGTTTTTCCTCGCTCCTCCCTCTGGTAGGCAGCTGTTACGGCCCCTCTCGGTGGGATCTCGATCCCGTCGACCCGGTCTGTTGCCCCGTCCGTGGAGAGGTGCTGACCCGTCCGGGCGTCCCCGCTGTCTGCCGCTGACCTGCTCCGTTGTACCTCCACGAAGAGGTGCTGACCCGTCTGGGCGTCCCCCGCTATCTGCCGCTGACCTGCTCCGTTGTCTCCTCCTTGGAGAGGTGCTGACCCGTCCGGGCGTCCTCCGCTGTCTGCCGCTGACCTGCTCCGTTGTCCCTCTGTGGAGAGGTGCTCACCCGTCTGGGCGTCCCCCGCTGCCTGCCCGCTGACCTGCTCCGTTGTCCCCTCCGCTGTCTGCCGCTGACCTGCTCCGTTGTCTCTCTGTGGAGAGGTGCTCACCCGTCTGGGCGTCCCCCGCTGCCTGCCCGCTGACCTGCTCCGTTGTCCCCTCCGTGGAGAGGTGCTGACACGTTTGGGCGTCCCCCGCTACCTGCCCGCTGACCTGCTCCGTTGTCCCTCCGTGGAGAGGTGCTGACCCGTCTGGGCGTCCCCGCTGCCCGCCCGCTGACCTGCTCCGTTGTCCCTCCGTGGACAGGTGCTGACCCGTCCGGGTGTCCCCCGTTGCCTGCCGCTGACCTGCTCCGTTGTCTCTCCGTGAAGAGGTGCTGATCCGTCTGGGCGTCCCCTGCTGTCTGCCGCTGACCTGCTCCGTTGTCTCCCCGTGAAGAGGTGCTGACCCGTCTGGGCGTCCCCCACTGCCTGCCTGCTGACCTGCTCCGTTGTCCCTCCGTGGAGAGGTGCGGAGCCGTCCGGGCATCCCCCGCTGCCTGTCGCTGACCACACCTCTCTGCTCCGACAGGCGGAGATCATGACCGAGCTGCCGGTTCGCTCCGTGGCTGAGGCAGAGACAGCGGCGGCGGCGCTGCTGCGCCGCGGCTGTCGCGCCGTGATCGTTACGCTGGGTGCGCAGGGCGCCGTGTACGCCGCGCCCGGACAGGCGGCCATGCACGTGCCGGCTGAGAGGGCCGAGCGTGTGGTGGACACCACGGTACGGCCGGCGATGGGACAGCCGGGTGACGGGACAGGGGACTGACATGTCATACAAGCTGGCTCGACTTCCGAAAGCCGCTGCTATCTGTTTGTTTCGTAACATACGGTGCGGGTGTCGCACGCCTAGAGGCGTCCAGCGTGAGTGGGAGAGCGCCGCGGTGCGGTTCCGCTGTGATTGGATCGTGCAGGCTGGCGGTGCGGGTGTGATCGTGCAGGCTGGCGGCACGGGTGCTGTGCGAGCGTGCGCGCCGCTCGGGTCCGTTCGCAGCGCCACCTGCGCCAGCGGTCTGTCTGTCACGCCGGCGGTCCGTGTGCCACGCCGGCGATCTGTTTGCCACGCTGGCGGTCTGTGTGTCACGCCGGCGGTCTGTATGTCACGCCGGCGGTCTGTCTGCCGCGCCGGCGGGCCGGCGGTCTGTGTGTCGCGCCGGCGGTCTGTCTGCCGCGCCGGCGGTCTGTCTGCAACGCTGGCGGTCTGTCTGTCACGCCGGCGGTCTGTGTGTCACGCCGGCGGTCTGTCTGCCACGCTGGCGGTGTCTGCCACACTGGCGGTCTGTCTGTCTGTCACGCCGGCGGTCTGTGTGTCACGCTGGCGGTCTGTCTGTTCACGCCGGCGGTCTGTCTGTCTGCCACGCCGGCGGTCTGTCTGCCGCACTGGCGACCCGCCTGACGCCTCCCCTCCGCTCGGCAGGGCGCCGGGGACGCCTTCCTTGGCGCACTCGGCTACTTCTTGGCGTGCGTGCCGGCGCTGCCCGTCCGAGAGGCCATTGTCCGCGCGTGCCGCATCGCCACGGATAGCGTGGCCCGGCCTGGCACCCAGGACAGCTTCCCCAGCCGAGAGCAGCTGCCGGCCGAGCTGCTGCGCCCCTGAGCCAGCCGGGGGCACGCCGCACCGATCCGGAGGCGTGCTGCAGCGATCACTGCCTCAGACGCCGATGGCGCGCCGCGCTTGGGGATTTCTACTAGCAATGCGTAGTGATGGCGATCAACAGCGCCGCGATGTCCCCTTTACACTGTGATTTAGACAGCTTTTGCTGGTATCGACTTTTGGGAAAACTTTTGAATCATGCCATATCATTAAGTTAAGCAATTAATTGGGGAAGCATTTCACTTTATATAAGCATGTGACGTGGGGACTGTCATTGAAATGTGCAATGAGTGTTGGCGACTTGCAGTGCAATGCATTTAGCATTACATTGTCCATTACATTATTGTCATGGGATGACTAGTAGATGACTAGCACTGTTAGTATACAAAGAAGAATGTGAGGCAGGTGGTACTGTGCAGCAAGTTAACTAATGCACTACAGGCGTGTCTGCAACATTACGGGTCGTTTGAGCTCAGCTTGGTGTGCCTCCGTATCTATAACGGGATGAACAACGTCATTCTTCTTTGTTACCAGGTTTGTGTTACTGCTTTTACACAGTGACTGGTCAAGCCCACGTGGATCGGGGTAATCGCACGATACAGGTGCCGCATGTACCATCCTATATTTACCTTAATAAACGTGTTAGCCGTATCGCAGTGTCCTGCAGCGGCACCAGCTGTCGCCACAATGATGCGCCAGCCGGCCGGCCGCGTTCAGAAATATGCTGGCAGGGGCTCACATCAAGCAGATAGGTTCTGTCGGCCGCTCGCGATGTTCCGGCGCCAGTAGATAGCCCCTGGTAGTGCCAGCGCATGTGCATGACCGTACCCTCAGGGCGTGACCGTAAATGTTCTGCCGTAGTTGAGTTTGTGCGCCTGCAGACCGGTTTTACGATGTGTGCTACAGCAAAATTTCGCACAGACAAGAGTGCCAGGACATGACCTCTATTGCCAATACTTACGTGCGTTATATGTACTATACGTCATCTGTGATATGTGCTATGTGAAAAACTTCCACTTCAAAAGCATATGCCCTTAATTCCTTCTGTCCCAAAAACTTCTAGCCTTTTAAAACGCGGCATTGCTCCTAATGCACCGTTTTATGCGCGGCTGCACGGCAAAATTTGTACTTAAAAACTTACACCCGCCATACCTGTGCTGCAAAAATTACACGGTCCTCTTTTATACGCGACGTTACTCACACTTCAGTTGTTACTGAACGAAACGAAATTGGCGAGGATTTTCAATTGGCGAAATTGGTGCGGCGAGGATCAGAACTGGGCTGGGCAGGAGAGAGGTCATAACAGGACAGGGGAGACACGAGGACAGATCTAAGCAAGGCAGGAAAGGACTGGCCCCAGGATAGAGAAGAGCAAACCCGGTCCTGTATTGTTTTGCCGTCTTTTTGTCAGTCCTTTTTTTGCCCGTGTTCTACAGTCCATGCCCTAAGTAATTTGATCTCCGCTCTGTTCCGTCCTCTGCCATGCCGCACTGTCTTCTGCGCTGCTCTGTTCTCTGCCGTGCCCTGTCCCTGCGCTGCTTTGTTCTCTGTCGTGCCCTGTCTTCTGCGCTGCTCTGTTCTCTGCCGTGCCCTGTCCTGCACGCTGCTCTGTTCTCTGCTGTGCCCTGTCCTCCGCGCTGTTTTGTTCTCTGCCGCGTCCTGTCCTCCGCGCTTGTCTGTTCTCTGCTGTGCCCTGTCTTCCGCGCTGCTCTGCTCTCTGCTGTGCCCTGTCCTCCGTACTGCTCTGTTCTCTGTCGTGCCCTGTCCTCCACCCTACATTGTCCTGTGCCATATCCCACCCCTGCCTTGCGCTGTCCTATGACCTGTGTTGTCCTCAATCCCTCTGTCCCCTGCCCTGGCCTATTCTCAATCCTGCCCTGTCCGAGATCCTGCCCTGTTCTCAGTACTGTCCTGTCGTCGGACCTGCCCTGTTTCATGTTTCACCCTGTGATGTGCTGTGTTGCGCTGGCCACCTTTGCCGTGTTGTCCCTTGTAACGCAAAACGGGGCAGAGAGCAGAGAGCTCTGTCATATACTCTTTCATACATACACACATCATACATCTTGCCAGCTTTGTCCTGACCTGTCCTCACTTTGTCCCAAGTTCTCTTCCCCTTCCTGCTTTTAACCTGTGTGCTGTTTCTGTGCAAACTGCAATCCATTGATCATTTCCGTAGTTGTTTAATACTGGTTTTGAATACATTGACCGCTGAGATCTTATTCCGCCTTGGTTCGTTCACGATCTTATCCCTGCCTTCTATTCTGGGATTATGCTTCGGTCTGTGCTCGATGCCACCCCATTCTTGTCTTCTGCGATTTCCGTCCTGTTTTCTGTCCGTGGCTCGCCTCTGTCCGACATGTCTCCTCAGTCCCGTTCTGCTGTCATCCCATTTGGACACAGTACCGCACGATCCCGCTCCGGTCGTGCCCTGCATTTTGTCATGCTGTATGTTATGTTGGGGCCTGACAGATTGGTCTCGCGGTGACGCTTGTAAAGTTCGCGAAAGCGATGTCATCCGATGTCAATGAAAACGCATCAGGTGAGCAGTGATCGTAACTGAGCATCAAAAGTAACCTTCATTTTTCAATATCACGTGACCTCTCAAGGTCGACCGTCAAGTTCAAATGACAGGGAACTGCATATAGTGAAGAGCTGTCAGTAAACTTCGGATTCTTCACCTTCAGAATCGCTTTTGAGCATGTCAGAATCGGGCATGTCTCAAGTAGACGGCACAATATTGCCTTTTTATTGGCTAAAAATTATATTAAAAATACTACTAAAAGTCCTAACGTTATGCATTTTTGAAAAGCACTCATCCACGCACTTTCCGTTTATGCTCATCCCTGATGTCTGGGACGTGCATGTGATCGCGGCTTATGTAGGGGGCAGGTCTGTGGCGGGGATTGTGGGCAGGTGTCATACGGTGTGCGTGCAATTACTTTACAAATATCGTGAAGAAAACGATATTGCATAGTTTGCTTAACATCATGGCTTTATTTCGTATACTTTTTTGGTATCGTTAGTCCGTAATATTCGAAATTGATGCCGCGGGGAGATGGCGTGTGTAAAAATGACGAAATTGATTTAATGACGAACGGCTGTGTAGTGGGTTTTAACTTTCAGTTTATGTACACGGGTTGTGCTGCGATATTTCATATAGTATAGTAGCTGTCACAGCTGTGGCATGCAGAAGGTCACAAAAATGGATGAATTGACCTAATGTTCTGGATTGAGAGCCTTGCAGGATGCATTTTTGTACATAGCTTAGGGTCCCACCCAGCGTGCATTAATTTCATCCACTGCATTGGATGCTTATGTGTCATGATTTTGCCAAATATTCCATTCAAGTTCTCAAGTGTGTTAAACGTAGCAGGCCGCATGCTCATAAATTTCAACTTCGTACATGGCAAATACTTTATTAGTATTTGAACTCAAAAGTACCTTTGCACTACCCTGATTTCCTGAGACATTGGCTCCTCATGTATTTAAATTGATGGCAACCATGCATTGAGCTCTGAGCTCTGGTTTAGGCACAGATGTTAACATAGCAGCCTCAATGGGGCTACTATGCTGCATGCATTTGGTTTGATATTTATGTTTTGCAGTTTGGGGCAAGACCAGGTCCTGCACCAGGTGCAGGAAATTCCAAATAGAGGACATTTCAATAGTATTGTAGTGAAATTTGCTCTGTTTTGTGGACAGGCCCAAGGTTATTATTTGGCCTGCCTTGGTGAGAAAATGTTAACAGAATACAGTTGAAGTGGGACAAATATTTTCAGTATGTAAGCCTCATGTGATTAACAATATTATAGACATTTATGATTGCTTGTGACTTAAGGAGGTAGTTTTGTGTTTTTAGAACAATATTATGGATGTTTGTGCTGTGTTTGTGACCTAAGAAGACAAACTTTATGTTTTCAGACCTTTGGGGAACTTCCTGAAGTGTGTAACAGTATTGGGTAAGTCTTAATCATGTTTGATTCACACTGTGTAACCCACAATTTTTGGCAGGCTTCTTCACTTGATTGTGAATGAGTTATTTTCATGCAGTTAGACAGCATATAAGTTGCAAGGAGCTGCCGCAAAAGATATATCCTAACATAAAATGAATGGTATTAGGCTGCAAGGAGTTGTGTCAGAAGATATGTGATGAGTTGAAACAGATGGCTACTGATTGGCAGGCATCCTTCAGAGGCTGCCATGAACATTTCAAAGTTGATCTGATGTTATACCAATTGCCAAGGAATTGAATGTATCTGTAATAGACCCTTGCCCATTGTTCATCCTGCATTACACCTGAAACTTGAATGGCATATGTGGAATTCCCTGTAAGTGACCTTAGCTTCCAGTGTGAAGCTGATGCTTCCAGCTACCAGATCACAAATGTTCAGGCCATCACAACATTGATGGAGCACAATATATTAGTGGCAGCTGGTGACAGTGAGGTTGTTATACAATGGCAGAATTAATGGCACCAGCCATTTATAAAGGCATTATAAAGTGGTGGTTCCAGAAGTGCAAAGCATTAATATTTGTACACATAGGAATGCTGGTGTGCATTCACAAAGCTTGTCGAGCCAGCATCATGGTTTGCACAGTGGGTTCTGTGCGGTGAAAAAGCATGCCATTGTGGGAATGGTGCAATGGTGACTGGTGTGGACATCTAAGTTACAGCACTACCCCACCTGGCTATGTTGCCTCTGGCCTGCCCCATCAGTGAATGGTTTTATGTGCAAGAGGGACACACCATAATATTGCTGATTTTTTCAGGAAGCATCTCATCAACATTTGACAGTTTTTTTCTTGACAGACTGGCGAGAAATTATTAGGTGGTGACCTATCTTTTTGCTGTTTGGATCCTTAAGCTCTTAAGTAAGTGCTTATAATGCAACCTCCTAAATGAATCCAGTGTTGGCTTTCCACTCATTTAACTCAAGTAGTATTTACTGCTGCCATAACACAAGCAGGCCTCACTTTTAGATGTGGTGTGCTTGAACTGATCCATGCTCTGCATTTTTGCTCTGCTGTATAACATTTGCATGCTGCATGCACATTAGCTGGCTTTAGATTATTGAGTGTAGGAATTATGGTTTATAGATGTGTAAGCATCTACATATTTTCTAGTGGGTTAAACTGTCACTGAAATGATCCAGAATGCATGCTGATAAGTTGGTTAAATTATTATTAGGCAAATACTTGGTTGCCTGCAATCAGTGTTTTACTTTCTAAGGGCATGAATTTATGGACTTAGGTTTTAACTCCTTCTTTCAGTGATAACTTTCCCCTCTTAGCCTTGACTTTGTTTCTTTCAGTGACATCATTTTCTTAACCTTAACCTTGGAAATACTTGCACATGCAGACATTTTTTCCCTGTTTTCCCATAACATTGAGTTTATCACCTATAAGACATGTTTGCTCACAGTTATGTAGCATTCTAAGTATGTGTGATGTCACTATTTTTCCCATTATTTTCATTTTTGAGGGTTCTTCTGGTATGAATTTATTTGAAGTCCAGGAAACAAAATGTGATTTGAACAGATATTTGATAGATTGTAGAGATATTTATCTAGCATTGATGCAAATTGATAGACAAGTTTCATGAGTAACATGTGAGCAATGGCTCATCCCAGCCCTATCTTTTCCTCCTACATGTCATGGTAATTGTTCATGTATTGTTTCCTCAGGATGTGTGTTATGATGTGATCAGGGTCATCCCCTCTCAGCAGATCCACCATGCAGAAACTCATAGGGTTTAAGATAAAGAAAGGTGTGACCTATTCTCTGGAATAAACATGTTTTCATATTTATCCATATTAAATCAAGAAAACACTCCTCATCGACACAATTGTTTTGATTAAAGTGATTGGCAGTGATACAATAATTTTCCTACTTGCTTAGCTATTCACGACTGCCCACAGCTTGCTCCGCCAGTCAGGTTTATGAACTGACGCGTAAGGTGCTGCTCCCTATCGGTGGCGAGGCGCACTTCCGCTTCCCACGTTAACCGCCGCTGTCCTGCGGCCGTGTTTTGATGCGTTGGCTCGTGTGCGCGCGACAGATGGGCGTGGCGCTCAGCCGGCGGCTCTGCACCTCGATGGCGAGTCCGACCCGCTGCCGGCCGGTAGTGCTGTGCGGCCCGTCCGGCGCCGGCAAGTCGACGCTCGTGTCGCGCCTGCAGGCCGAGTTCCCCGGTCTGTTCGGCTTCAGCGTCAGCCACACCACGCGCCGGCCGCGCGCCGGCGAGGCGGACGGCGTGCACTACCACTTCGTCAGCCGCGAGGCCATGCTGGAGGCCATCAAGGCCGGCCAGTTCCTCGAGCACGCGGAGTACGGCGGCAATATGTACGGCACGAGTAAGGCGGAGGTGCGTGCGCGGCGATGGCTCGTGTCGGGGCTCTGCTGTTTGGATAGTATGTGGAGGGGAACGCTGCAGAGGTGGGGACGGCTGTGGCGGATGTGTTCTAGCTCTGTGCTGACTGCGACGTAGCTTGTAAACCATTTTAATGCGTCGATCACGCGAACATGAATTAAAGGGAATGTTCCACATTTGGGTGGGGTTTTGGACTGAACTAAGCGCCTTGATGGCCATTTGTTCCTGATAACAGCCCTTCCATCTGAAGACCAAAACCCTGCTTGTTTCTGAGCTTAACCCACGAAAATGTGGAGACTTTCGGGGACACTGTTTCAAGGTCATCTAGGCATCCATGACGCTATAACAACGTCATTGAAGTCCCGCTTATTCCATTGGCGATGCGGCGGCCAAGGCCAAGAAAAACATAATTGCCGAGTTGTTCATGTCTGACGTTCGTGAGCACGACTTCCAGATATAACAGTCGTCAACTGACTCGATCAATGTGATGCAAGGTACGATGACGTAATCAAACAATGACGTACCGAGAATATTTGCTGAACACTGAAATTGTATTGTCTGGAGCAGTTGTGTCCACTAAAAAGCCTACCAATAGTTTTAAGTGGGCTTATTTCGTTATATCTCATGCTCGCTTCAATATCTTTAAAAGTGGAACATTCCCTTTAAGCTCAATAGCAGTCGGACCAGTCAGACCCATGTCTTGGTATGTTAATTGTTCCCTCTCCACACATGTATGGGTAAAGTCCGCGCCGTGGGCCGTCTTCCCGATAACAAGGTCTGCTGTTGGACAGGTGGAGCGCATTGACGGCGGTGGCGCCATCTGTATCTTGGACATTGACGTGCAGGGTGTGAAGCAGGTGAAACAATCGGACCTCAGCCCGCACTGCGTCTTCATTCGGCCGCCCAGCATGGAGGTGCTGGAGCGTCGACTCAGGTGGGCTGCGTCCGTCCGTCCCAGGACGAGAGCGGGTAAAACACGGCAAGCGCGTCCCAGTGTGTTTGCCCAGGTGGCCACTATAACGAGAGGCCGCCAATGCCACCGGCAAGTGGCGAGCTGATGCTCAGATCGCGGGCGGAGGACGGCGCCGAGACGCCCATCTGCAGTGATACCGCTGCTGGCGTGGCGTGCGGCGAGTTCGCCGCGTCGCCCGGGGCACCGCGATCCTCATACCCACTTCACGGCCCTGCCGCAGGGACCGCAACACGGAGACGGAGGAGACGCTGCGGAAGCGGCTGACGGCCGCCGCCGCCGAGCTCCAGTACGGCGAGACACCCGGCAACTTCGACGCCACCGTCGTTAACGACCAGCTGGACGCGGCGTATGAGCAGCTGCGCGCCTTCCTGCTGCCGATCATCGAGCAGAAGAAGCGGGGCGCGGGCGGCGTCGAGCGCTCGTAAGGCGCAGCTGCTGGCGCCGGCTCCGTGCGGCTCGTCGCGAGCCGCGGCGTTGCCTGGCCCGGTGGCGCCGGCCGGAGGAGGCTCCGCTGCGGGTCACGGCTTCGCCTGGCCCGGTGGCGCCGGCCGGAGGAGGCTCCGCTGCGGCGGGGGAGGACTGAGGCCGGGGTGTGGTATATGTCGGTCACAGTCGTCGCTAGAGGCACTTGGCACGTGAGCAGGGAGCAAAGGAACACGGTCGGGTTTGTTGTTGATGTTCTAGGGAGGCACGGGCACCTATGTGATCCAGAGGTCGCAAAAGCACTGGCGTCCAAACGCCAAAACCGGCCGGGCATTCCGTGCCCGCGCAGTTTTCGAACAATTTTTTGGCGACGCAGCACTCATGCTCATGTCCACACACTAGCGCTCGCACGCAAGTAACCGTTACGGGCAACGGCTGGTTATACGGTCTCGTGCGCACGCTTGCGCTTTGGTTGTGAAGCGAAGATGGCATCACTTAATAGGAACGCTGAAATGTCAGAAACACCCGCTCTGCAGGGATACGCCTTCTTTTATTCTCTCACTTGCAGGGTTTTGGAATGGGGTGGATATGCTTCGTTACGCGAAGATGTGGCATTACGGGACTTTTGTGGACTACCGAAAGTGTCGCTTTTTTATTCCACTGCAGGGAAACTCCGATCTCAAAAATCGCGGGTGGTAAAATAAATAAATTGACCTCAGTCTTTTATGCTAAGGCGTCGCGGTGTGTATCGGCTTTTTTCTTCTTTTTTTTTGTTCTAAAATTGCGCACGTATGCAAGACCGGTGTTCGCAGGTTAAATATTGAGTGCGCGTATCTCGCCCATGTGTAAAAATCCGTCTCACTGCGGCGCTGAAGTGCGTTTCGTATCCCATCCGTTGTGATTAGATTAATTTACGACTGCTACACTGAATTATCGGCAGTTTGGCGAAAGCGCTGCGTTGATCGGGTATAAACGCATGCTTTTGTCTGATGGTGATTTTGACATCTGCACCGAAGCACAGTAGCAGTCGGCAGCTTCCGGTCCAGTTATATGGTTAACGCAGGTGCTTTGGCACGATGCTCTCAATGATGAGGGGATGAGTGGGACAACACGGTCTGACAGATTGGGCTGTAGCCACACTATTGTTTTTCGTGTGAAGTTTTTTTTTGTATTTTTCCATTGAAAACCTCTGGCGCCGTCAGCTTGACCGCACCCACTGTGCCGTCTAGCGTTATCCACCCGTGACCAGGGGTGGATGGCTCAGATAAATAGCAGCAGCCTTTGAATTAGCTGAGGATGTCGCAAATTTTCGCGCCAGTAACTCGTGATCCGTTTGCAGCCCTCGGCACTGATAGTGACAAACGGCTGATGGGCCGAGTACTTACCTGGTGTGGGAGAGGGACGGGCGCTTGATCGCGTTTATTGAGATATGGGCTGTCAGTTTTCTGGAAATAGGTCTGGCCAGTCGGTTCCCTGTGTTGACACCGTGCGACGGTCGCGCCGCGTTACCAGTGTGAGGCTTCCAGTGCCGTGCGGCTGCCAGCGTTCCCATCCCACCGCGTGGGGGACTCGTGTGGCCGCTTAGGACATGTCTGTTGTGAGGCATGGGATGGGTACAACTTATCTAGCGAGTTCTGGGCGCGACACGTGTCAATCGAAAGGCACCATTAGGTTTTTTCACTGTGCGCTGTTTTTTTTCTGAACACAAACCGGTGGCATCTGCTCTCAAGCGTACGTGCTTTTCGTTTGTGCGCTTTTTTCGGACTCTGTCGTTTCCAAGCAGACGTGTGCTGTTGCTGGGCGCGAGCGCAGTGGGCGTGGTTCGGGTCCAGCTGAGTGGGGTGTTCGGTTGGCTAGCTGATTGGGTGCGTGGTTTCGGGTCCATTTTCTGCCAATAAGCGAGCCCTCGCGGCGAAGCTACTCGTGTTCCATGTGGAGAACCAAGTTGTTATTTCTGTCCGTTGCCAACGTTACGTCTCTTCAACGTTGGATTGCGATTTTTACGAGCGTCGTGGTCAGTGAAACTTATATTATAGAGATGGATCGGACATGTGTTTTACATGTATACGCCGAAATTTCCCGAACGTGACTAACACATGTTGAGGGTCGTTGGCATGCCGTGCTCTGCTTAAAGCGTGTGACTGGCGGATGTCCGGAGTCCTGTCATTACGTGCACGTTTCAATGCGATGTCAGGCACTGGGCGTTGCCATTTTCGGCAGCACGTAGGCGGAAGGCCTGCTGAATTCGTCATAGACTGCTCGTCAGTGCCACCGCTCAGCGAAAGCGGCGGCAAGCCTCGATTGTGACACCTCTATGCACTATGTACAACAATAGAATTCAACACACAATGAAACCTTACTTTTGTGTTTGTGTCCACCCGCCAGCAGGGAGTCTCCGCCCACTTTCCCTAAAGTCGGCTCAAAGTGCGAGCAGTGTGTCAGCTTTCGCGGTATGTTGCCGTGCGTCTGACCAGACTATGCTAGCCTGAGTTGTGACCTTCGGGCCCCTGTGAGGCGGGTAGTCCAGGAGCGAGCCAGCGGAGCGCACGTGCAGTATTGGGAGGTCGGCCGAATAACAGCTGATAAATCTCCACTCGCGAACACGGGCGGGTGCGAGATGGCAGCGGCCCGCGTGTGCCAGAAACGGTTAGCATTTTCCACACATCTACGTGTGGTGGGGGCGGCATTGCGTAAACTGGCGGTAGAGATAACGAATTTGTTGTAACTCAGGAGTAGCATGGTGGGCCCGATAGCCTGCTGTCTGACGGAACTCCAGGCTCCGCGTTACGCGAAAATTACCCTTCAGATACAGGCGTGAGCAGGAGTTCCGGGTCAGCCGCGGCGAAATTGTTGGTTCAGCTGAGCTGTCAAGCAGGTCAGGTTGCGGTTTATCCTCGCTGGCTGCAAGCTGGGGAAGGCACAACTGCATATGTTTTGCTCGTATCGTAGAAACGGCAAAGCGAATATCGACTCAGCTAAAGCCGCGACTCACCAACTAAATCACATTAATCGTTAATGCAAGAAGCGGCCCACGCACATCAGCCAGTACCGCCACTGGGAGGTAAGACGGCAGCCATCTCCCAAAATCCTACTACATCTTTGTAAGCCATGACGAACACTTCTGTGTTCCTCACAAAGCGATAATGTGCTCTCGTCAGGGGTCTGCATTTATTTACCGAGTGCGTCACCTCGTCATAAAAATCGGTCCTCATAAGATCTGGCGATGACACGTCTACTCCTCACAAACAGTGGCATATACACACCCCTCTCGTCCCAGTGTCTGTCCACACACGGCGCGCAGTAGCTGCGTACCTCAGGCCGGTTTGTACAGTCACGTGATCACTGGGCGGTCCGGTCCTGATGCGGACGCTGCGCGGAGAGTGACGCCCGGCCCTCGCCCCCGACCCTCGCTGACCCACTCCACACCACGGACATGGGTGACCTCCAGCCAATGGGCATTACCGAGTGCATTTCTGAAGGCACGCCGCACGTGTACACTACGTACGTACAGGCGCGTCACAGGATTTGATATAACTTATATGCAGGACATCCAGCATGCGCTAAAACACAGTAAAATCTGTCGCAACTTACTGAATTGTGAATCAAAGTACTTTTTCACAACATCCATCGAAAATGTACACGACCACGAGCATAGCACCGCGACATAGTTGGTCGGCTATCTCCAAGAGGACGACGGTCGGCGTGCTCGAGGTTTTCACCCGCAACGCACCATTGTGCTTACGTTGAGCCCTGTGCAACATAGTCATCGCAACTGATACATATCCCTCAACAGTGGCATAATACATGGTCGAGGCATGCCCTCAAGGCGGGATGTACAGGCCCCCGTTACGGGACGGACCACCTAGAACGGGTGTCCGCCATCAGTGTGGCCGTGGCCGTCCCCTGATTGGAACTGGCGGCGCGCTGTGTCATACAGGTCATCAGGCTACACCGCATGCAAGCTTCCACCGCAGACGGAGCGCGATCATTCCGCTGCGTCTCTCCGACGGTGTGACGCTGACCTGGAGGTCACGGAATGCAGGCGGCGTGCTGTTGGCAGAAGAGGCCTCGGCCCCCGCGCTCAGCTGGCTACAGCGGTTGGGCAGTGCAGCGCACCACACCAAGCATCAACCTGATCGGCGTCGCCTCACGATACTAAACTCCGTCGTTTATTCTGTGCGACATAAAACGCATGGCCGCGACGCGACGTCGTTACATCGCAGTCACCCGGGCCTCCCAGCCTGCGCACGCCGTCCGCCCTGAGGCTGGCCGCCTCACAAGATGTACACGTTGAAATTGTCGTTGCGCAGTGACATTTGGGCCTCCTGCAGGATGCGCAGCCGCGGTCCGACCGGGATGCCCAGCTTCTGCAGACGGTCCTCGGTCATGTAGGGCAGCTCGATCATGCCGATCCGCTCCCGCTCGAAAAGCGCCGCGTATTTCTGCGGGAGGGGCCGGCTGGCCGTCAGCATGAAGCGGCTGTGGCTTGTGAGGAGCTTGCAATGAAGCGGCTGTGGCTTGTGAGCGGCTTGCAATGAAGCGGCTGTGGTTTGTGAGGGGCTTGCCATGAAGCGGCTGTGGCTTGTGAGGGGCTTGCCATGAAGCGGCTGTGGCTTGTGAGGGGCTTGCAGTGAACGGGAAACCGTCATCCGGAGGCATATTTATAAAACAAACATGTATTGGGCTGATGTGTGCGACATTCTACGCTTTATTCTGCTAAATTATGTGTATTACTATACTTTAGTACGATAATGGCTTAAATCCGTTATTTGTTAGCCGCTTCATGAGTTAGTAATGCTGCGGAAATTTAATTGCAAGTTTACAGTTTCTGTTACAGTCGCACGTTATATGATACGCTTTCATCAATCGTGAAGATGGTCACAAATAGCCAAACATTCATACGTAAATAACGACTGACCCATCCAAACATCGCCAGCCGCCACCGCATTGGCTGTAGTCCCGCGCCTCACCTCGTATCCCAACTTCTTGAGGAAGATGCGCAGCAGCGGCGGTTCGTCGCCGAAGAACTTGGTTAGCTTGCGCACGCGGCCCGGGTGGGTGAGCGAGGGCACCGAGTCTCGGAACGCCTCCCACTCGTTGGCGGGCCGGCCCGGCCGGATAGCTCGCCCCGGGGACGTGCGCAGCTGGGTCAGCTCCGATCGGATGCTCTCCAGCTCCTGGGAGTGAGAGAGTGAGAGTGAGCAGCGCCGGGTGAGCGGGGCCGAGGGCAGAGCGCCGATCATCCTCCGGGCCATGGGCGTAGGAACTGGCGGTCCGTCGGTGTATACCCCTCCCCTACCTTACGAGAGTGCAGAGTATTCGCCCTACATGCGACGCACAGAAAGAATGGACTTCAAATTTAGTTTAGCACCGCCACTTTCAGTGACGTGCCTTCGCCCATGCTATGGATGATGCAGTGTGGGTTGGAGGGGGGGGGGGGGGATGCGAAGGTCACGCAACTTTTCGTTGCAGAAACAAATCACTCGACTTATCTGTTGCACGCACGACTTTTCCGTCACATCCTATCACGGCGATATTTATGATTTAGTTGCTTTTTGCTTTTGAGCAGAGTAAAAGAAGCAAAATATTTAAAATAGTTGCTTTGAGGGAAAATGGCTGGGAATATATGTTTGAATCAAAATGAGATTCAACAGTCGAAGCTTGACTTGCTATCGCTGAAACGGCCCTTGCCCTTGCAAGAATATAAGTTCACCGTAACTGCTACAGTGATTGTAAGTTCACTGTAATTGCTACAGGCGCGTGCGAACGATTGTTTCTCCTCTGCACCAATCAACGCTGTGTGCCGATCCCCGTAGAGCGTCCAAAAACTTCCCAGAGAAAGCAAGCGACTTGCCTGGAACATGAGATGCTGCGTTCTCATCTCCGACGACAGATGTGCTACACTTCTGGCTAACGTGACCACGTGACTCTCGAGTCTTTGGAACCTCTTGTTGATTCCCTGAGGACGAGAAGCCGGGTCACTTTCAATGGCCGTTAGCAAATTGGATCATGTGCCCGATGGCACACGGCGGGGACGGGAATATCGGCAAGTGATTTAGCCCACATGCCACGTAAGCTCGTACAGAGCTTAACTGACCAAAAGTGCACACGACGGCGGGCCGGCGTGATCCTCCTCTGCTACAGCGCTCCCCATGCGCCGCGGTCGATAGACGCTTGTGTTTCCGAGACAAGATCTAAATCACACGACAGGCCACGACAGGATTGACCATATCTTCCCGAGTGCACGTATCGCCTCGTGAGCGCGTCACGCACCTTCAGGTCCTTGAGCTTCTTCCGGTCCTCGCGGCGGCGCTCCTTGGTGGGCCGGCCGCCGATGGAGGAGGGCAGGGAGGAGAGGCTGCCGTACATCCTGTGCTTGTTCAGCCCCCCGCGCGGCAGACGAGGCGGCTGTCCCCGCCTCTGGCCGCCCAGCAGCCGCAGCACCTGACGGTTTCGAGGTCGGCATGGTCAGGCGGCTCAGACGTGGTCAGGCGGATCAGGAGGGTCAGGCGTGGTCAGGCGGGCCAGGAGGGTCAGGCGTGGTCAGGCGCGGTCAGGCGGCTCAGGCGTGGTCAGGAGGGTCAGGAGGGTCAAGCGTGGTCAGGAGGGTCAGGAGGGTCAAGCGTGGTCAGGCGGCTCAGGCGTGGTCAGGCGGGTCAGGAGGGTCAAGCGTGGTCAGGCGGGTCAGGAGGGTCAGGCATGGTCAGGCGGGTCAGGAGGGTTAGGAGGGTCAGCGGGTCAGGAGGGTCAGGCCGGTCAGGCGTGGTCAGGCGGCTCAGGCGTGGTCAGGCGGTTCAGGTGTGGTCAGGCGGGTCAGGCATGGTCAGGCGGGGCAGGAGGGTTAGGAGGGTCAGGCGGGTCAGGAGGGTCAGGCGGGTCAGGCGGATCAGGTGTGGTCAGGAGGGGCAGGTGGGTCAGGAGGGTCAGGCGGGTCAGGTGTGGTCAGGAGGGTCAGGGGGGTCAGGTGGGTCAGGAGGGTCAGGCGGGTCAGGCGCCAACCTCAGAATATGCTCGCCTCAGAACACTGACGGAAATGTAGAAACACTGCCTTCTAAACTTAAATCCAGTCGGAGATGGAGCTGGGACACTTGTCATCACAGAAAACATAGCGATTAACACTATTTGAGGAGCAGGTGTTCAGGATTTACGGACCAGGTGTTCTTACAACACAGTCATTTGAACACTAGACAAAATCCCAGCAGATCGATATTGTTTCAGAACTTAGCCTCATCTCTGTTCGGGACGGAAGCCAACGCCAATGACAACAGGCAGTCACAGTCAGGCAGCAAACGACACAAGTTCAGAAACGTACATTTCTTAGTGTGAAATACCCATGCTCAAAAAATATCAGATGGAGCCGATTTCATTCCAGCACGCACGCACGCACGCACGCACGCACGCACGCACGTACGCACGCACGCACGCACGCACACACGCACACACACACACACACGCACACACACACACACACACACACACACACACACACACACACACACACACACACACACACACACACACACACACACACACACACACACACACATACACACACACACACACACACACACACACACACACACACACACACACACACACACACACACACACACACACACACACACACACACACACACACACACACACACACACACACGCCGGTCTACACCGTCCCTGCAAGGGCCGAACGCGTCCATCCACCAGCAGCAGCCAGCGCGACCGGCCGCGTGGCACGGTCCACGCTGGTCGAGCCGGCCGGCCGGCCCCAACCTCGCCCTCACCTCCGAGTACATGGTCTCGAGGCTCTCGAGCTGTTTCCGGATGGCCGGCCCGTCGGCCGTAGCATCAAGCACGGTGGATTCGTCGTCAGTGCTCTGGTCGGTGGTCTGGTCCAGCATCGACTCCAGCTCCAGGCCGGTGGTCATGGATGTGACATCACCGTCCGTCCGGCCCGCGCTGCTCACAGACGCTGACGGCACGCAGCGAACACATATTGATACCCGCTATATAACACATGCAACGGTGACGCGAACTTCAGCCGCCCCAGACGACAGTACTGCAGCGTTTCAATCTTGGGACGCATTCATTAAAAGCCCTGGCCCTACAGAATCACCGCAGCTCAACAAGCCAATCTGAAAATGTCCCGAAACCCCACGCAGCCTGCTACACCACCATCCCGCCGCCGTTCTGCATCCTCGTCAGCCACCGCGACGTACCCAGCCTCGTGTTGACGGGCACCCGCTGGCGGAACCTCTGCTCTCGGCCGTCGCGTCCCGCCGGCGGCGCCTCCTTGGCCTTGCGCCCGCCCCAGTCGCGCCGCTGCCCGGTGCTGGGGGTGCGGTGCACCCCTGTCCGCACGCCCACCGTCTGGCTGCCACCGGCCATCGCCTCCAGCAGGTCGGGCTGGTTCAGCGCGCCGGCCGAGTAGCTGAGCGGAAACTTGGCAGCCGTCGGTGGCGAGGCGGGCGGCGAGCCATCCGGGGAGTCGCCGAGGGGGAGGGCGGGGAGGGGCGGCGTGCTGCCGCCGGCCGCGCCGCCGCCACCACCGCCACCGCCGCCGCCGCCGCCGCCGCCGCCGCCGCCCGAGCGGAAGAGCCGCGGGTCGAGGATCTGGCGCAGCTCCGTCTCCACCATGTCCACCCACTCAGAGTCGTTCCCTGCACGGCCGGGGGATTGGGTCAGTCGACGTTGTGGAGCAGACAGGTCCACGCAGGGCCGGCGGGCGGTGGAGTTATCGGCTGACGAGATGTGGACAACGTACGTCATTCCACTGGTGACCAATGACAGCAATTGTCGCTGAAAACCGTTAGACCTAACCTGTGTCTGAGGCCGGTTGATAATGGCGGCATCACATTCACAGGAAGAGGAAATGCGGATTCATGTAAGACACGAAATACATCATCACAAACAAACTGGTAAAATAACGCATTTCAACGAACGATCCAGGCGCTATTCCAGCGCTTGGAAGCCTCCGAGTCATCTCATCCCAATGTCCTCCAATCACCAACCACGGCAACTTGCCCGCATTGGCGTCGTCAGCAGACCCTCACTCACCGGATGAGTGGCCGGTCTGTTGAGCCGCGGCCGCGGCCGCCGGCGCCGGCGCCTGCTGCTGCTGCTGGCGGCCCTGCGCGTCCGAGTCGAGACTGGAGTCGAGAGGCGGCGGCGAGGCGAGCTTCTGCGCGTCGGCGCCGGCCGACTGGCTGCTGCCGTTGCCAGAGTCGGATGAGTGGCTAAACGGGCCCTCCTTCTGCAGCTCCTGGCGCGAGGCGTACGGCGGCTCGGCCGGCCTCGGCGCCGGCTCGCCCTCCGCCGGCCGGCTTCCCTCGGCCGCTGACGGTGGCGCGGCGGCGCCACTGTCGGCCGGCGGCGAGGTCGACGGCGGCGGCGGCGGTCGCTGCGCAGGTGGCGCCGCCGCCGCCGCGCGAGGCGTCTGGCCGTACACTCCCTCGGCGTACAGGCGACCGAAAGGCGGCGCCGGCGGCGGCTGGGAGCCAAACGGCGGCGGCTGGTGCGCGCCGTACGCTGGTGGTGCGGCTGGTCGCGGCTGTGGCGGCGGGGGCCGCGGCTGCGTGATGCCGTAGCCGGCTGGCCGCGGCGGCGGCGGGCTGCCCGGGTACGGCTGCGGCGGCAGCGGCCGCTGCTGCTGCCATGGCGTGCCGCCCGGCTGCGCCGCCGTGCCGTAGATGGCGGCGTGCCCGGAGACTGGCGGGTAGTGCGAAGACGGCGGGCCGTACTCCTGGCCGGCGTAGGCGGGCGTGCTCCCGTACTGGCTGTACCCCGCCGGCGCGTGGCTGGTGGCCGGCTGCTGCTGGTGCTGCTGTTGGTGTTGCTGGTGCTGGTGCTGGTGCTGGTGCTGGTGTTGTTGGTGCTGCTGCTGGTGGGGTTGATGCTGATGGTGCTGCTGTTGGTGCTGCTGGTGGTGCTGCTGCGGGAGCGGTGGCGGGGGACCGAGCCGGACCTGGCCTGGGCCGTAGCCACCCGTGTAGCCGTACTGCGTGCCGGCCGGGCCAGGCACCGCCGCGGTGTAACTCTGCTGGTCGGCCCCTAGCGACAGCGCGCTCATGCTGTACATTACTGCGTTCTCGTCGTTGAGATTGGATTTATGTGCGCTGCGCTGCATTGCCTTGCGGAAGCTGGAGTTGATGTTGGAGGCCCGACCGTTGGCGGCGCCGGCCGCCGTGTTGTTCGGACCGGCGCCGTTCGTCACCGCCGTCCTGCTGCCGTTCTCGGCGCCCAGCTTGCCGAAGCGATTGGAGATCATGTCCTTGATGTGATAGTACTTCTTGGTGAGCGTGCCGTTCCTGCCGCGCTCGGCGTCGGCGTCTGTCGGGTCGGAGCCGGGGGGCGCCGCCGGCCCGTCCGCTGCCAGCCGGGCGTTCTGGGCCGGCAGTCCCTGGGGACAGACGGTCGCCCATGTCAAAGCGATGCATGCAGTGCATGCATACGCCCCATGCCATCATCAGAACATGTTGGCGATTCGCTGCTCGCTTTCAATTTCGCTGATGTACATACATCGGGAGTGAACGCGCCGTCAAGGGCAAGAAGGAAACCGGCGTTCTTTTTCAGATGACTACCATTTAAGTGTGATTCTCTGGAGCTGAGTGGTGTGCATCCGCATAGCCGAAAGGTGCATTGTTGACTTCAGTTTCGAGGACCTGTGGTAGCGTACTTCATCGAATGATTACTTAAGACCTAATGGCACTCACAAGACTTGCAATTCCTAGTCATAGTGGGTGATAACACAGGGCCACAAAGCTTCTGTGCTTGGGCGACAGGAAGCAACAGCGAAGTTGCAATGACCTACACGCAAATTACGTGATTCATAAGGTGTCGGTCATAAAGAATGTGCCAATTTGGCGTCATCACGCATCATATTTCACCCTGGCATAGCATAGCAATCATACAGTAGGAAATCACCGTTTCTTCTTTGTTGCTTGGCATACAAGGCATGCTTTTGAGGGCTGGGAGAATATCGAACTGTTTACAAATAAAATTGGGGAGCCATGGGCATGTTTGTATCTCTGAAGTCCTGGCCCCTGCCGACTGGCCGTCGTGCCGAGCCTCCCCGGTCGGGCTTGGCGGACGGGCAGCGGGGCGTCCGACCCCTCCCCTCCCCTCCCGCGGGCGTCTCGGCGGCCCGGTGATTGGTCGTGACACAGCAGCGGGCCGGCCGGAGCGTGACGCGGGGCCCACGCTTCAGCGGCTCACTCACGGCCGCTAGCAGCGGCCGGCAGACCACACTCCGAGGCCCGCACAGTCCGGGGCCGGCGCACAACAGCGTCAACAGCGGCCGGAGGACGGGTCACCGCTGCAGGGCGACACGGCGGGGGCGTGCACCACCCCACAGAACGGCCTTCCTTCCGCGCTGTCTTCGGTATTGTGCCCCCAGCGCAAGACCGGGGTTTTGCTTTATATTCAGTATGTTCCGGTGAAAGAAAATAGGACTAATTTGGTCCCTCGCAGAATGAATGAAACGTTTCCTTTTTGTATTTTCTTCGGTAGGAACGAAACGATATCTTTCGACTAGCTATACGTTTAGGGGTAGTTGTGCTCATTGAGCCGATTACTGCGCACACTTCAGCTAGAGATGACGGACGCATTAAGTATGCAATTCATTCGTGTAATTGGCCCCAATTACAGCCAGAAGGAGCCGTTCGTGGGAGAGAGTGGTCGCCTATGTTTGGTCTGTGCTCGTTCGTTTCACTCGGACATTTCACGGACCAGCAGCCAGGCTTTACAGCATAGATCTAACAACACCTCTAGATGGCGTGATCGGTACTGGTTGATTGCATCCCGTGAGATTTCCATGGCACTCAAGCCCTTCTGTATCTCTCATGCCCTGGGAGCAGCGGCTGGCCGACGCTGTAACTCACGCCAGGCAAACTACAACAGAAAAAGAACTGGATTTACGTTGAAGAGCGACCTTACAATTCTTGCGAGTATATCTGAGCAATCGGTGCTCCAGGCAAACGCCGCGGCTACTTCAGAGGCTTGTCTCGCCAAATCGTGACAACCATTTACCAGTTTCAGCTGGGCGTGTGACAGCGCGCGGGCCGCCGGCCACCTACCGTTGACTGGGCGTGCAGCACCGTCTGCGCGCCGCCGGCCACCTACCGTCGACTGGGCGTGCAGCACCGTCTGCGAGCCGCCGGCCACCTACCGTCGACTGGGCGTGCAGCACCGTCTGCGAGCCGCGGCCCCAGCCGTCGCGCTGGAACATCCGGCTGCAGGTGTCTCGGAGCGCGTCCGAGCCGCTGACGCCGGCCGGCGGCGGCTGCGAGGCCGGGAACTCCTGCTGGCCGCGGCCCGACGCCCGCGCCGCGCCCTGGGGGCAGGCCGGGTCACCGTCGCGCTCAGGCGCCTGGGGCCAATGAGGCTTAGTTCACTGCGGACAGGCTTGGTACCGCAAGCATACGTCTGCGAGTCCCAGCGGTGACTACTAATTCAGCCAGGTCCTTGAGCGTAAAAGTGACCTCAGATATTTAAGGTCCACGTGGAGGGTCAGTATTGCGATGCCATCATGTGTCTAGTGATCACATGGTGCCCACTGCGCCCCGTGTAGCCGATGAGAACGGCTTTGTCATAGTTCCGCCGATGGAAGCCGAAAACCGTCATCATTCTGGAGTTTCGAGTACAGCAGCTGCAAATGGGCGTGACTCCCGTAATAAACACCAGGGACCGGGAAGTTATGGCCTCATGTTGGCGGACATTTCGCTATTTTTGTTCAAGGTGACGGCCTTTTATTAATTGGCCTGACTGGAGACGTCTGTAAGTGAATTCCCTGAAAATAGAGGGGCCTGTACTGACAAAGGGAACGGAAACAGGTGGCTGAAGCAATGCGGATGATTTCAAGGGTGCCAGAAAATGCCCTCTGAGGGTGGCATTACGAGCGGGGTGAAGCATCACTGTAGGCAATGTTCTATTCAGCGTTCAGAAAAAAAAACACGACTAGACTGACGATGTACGAATAGCACGAGCACGTCCTTAACAAAATGTCCCCCCTACTCTCTCTCCTTGTCTCAGCCCTGCTACACCAGTATCCAAGTAGCTTAAGCCTCTTCAGTGCTGTCCTACGAGCCCCACGCCACAGCGGCGCACTCTCCCGCTCAGCTGAGCCGCGGGCTGCGACGCGGCGTTCGGCCACCCACTCGGTACACGCCGTACGGGTCCTCCATGGCCGGGTTATCGATGCCGGCGACGGAGACGGCCGACTGCAGCAGCTGGTCCCGACTGCCGGCCGTCTGGCGCTCCACCTGCAGAGCGGGCGGACGTGTCGGTCAGACGGTGGCTGCGCCGGGGTCACTGGAGCAGGTGGGGGGGGGGGGGGCGGGGGTCAGGGCTCGGCGTGCTGGGTTGGGGGGGGGGGAGCTGCGGCAGTTATCTAGCTCGGGGGGATCGAGCTCAGCTCAGCTCAGCGAGCAGCCGGCCGGTGATTCCT